GGGTTCATTGTACACAGACTTTATTTCATGCACAAAATTGTTTAAAATACTGTATACAATGACCTTCAGGCTTTGTGTATCAGGTGCACATGAAAGATATAGGGGTTTCATAATGAGCCTTGGGTCCAAGCTCCAAAATATCTCATCATGTATGTGTGTGTGTATGTATATATATTGAAAATACAGGTATTCCAAAATCTGAACAAATCTGAAATTCAAAGCACTTCTGGTTCCAAGAATTTTGGATAAGAGATACTCAGCAGTATACATTTTGCTCTCTGCTTTGACATTTGAGGATTTGATTATTCACAGATTTGATTAAAATACTGCCTTGGTGGAAACTCTTTCTCTGGAGACTTTTAAGCAGAGGCTGGATGGCCATCTGTCAGGAGGGCTTTGATTGGGCTTTTCCTGTCTGGCAGAAGGGGGTTGGACTGGAGGGCCCTTGGGGATCCCTTCCAACTCTAGGATTCTCTAGACATCTCAAGATTCTCCAATTCTAGGGATAACTTCTGCCAGTAGTTGACCAATGACTCACATTGAAGGCCCTAGGAATCTAGGAATGTCACTCTAAGTCCTTGTGTAATTCAGTGGACAAATTCCACCATAAAGTTACGATGGATGTCCTAAGACAGTGGTTCTCAACCTGGGGTCCCCAGATGTTTTTGGCCTACAACTCCCAGAAATCCCAGCCAGTTTACTAGCTGTTAGGATTTCTGGGAGTTGAAGGCCAAAAACATCTGGGGACCCCAGGTTGAGAACCACTGTCCTAAGGCAATGGTTCTCAACATGTGGGTCCCCAGATATCTTGGCCTTCAACTCCAAGAAATCCTAACATGTCGGTCCCCAGATATCTTGGCCTTGGTAAATTGACTGGACCTAGTTGTAGGACTCAGGGATTCATTCCTAAACACATTAAAAATAGAAAAAATAAATTTGTGTATTCTATTGTGGTAGGGGCCCTATGGTTCTAACACCAGCAAATGTATGTATGTATGTATGTTGTTGTTGTTGTTGTTATTATTATTATTATTATTTCTTCTTCTTCCTTCTCCTCCTCCTCCTCCTTGTGACGGCGTGAGTGGCACCACCTATGTATAGAACTGTTAGTTGTAAGATTTAAACTGTTGTATCATGCTTAATCCTGCCCCTTTTTACCCTACTTATGTATAGTTGTATGGATTGTTTGCTTGTAGCTGTCAATCAGTACTGTTTGGCTCCACCTCTTCCTGCAAGAGGGGAGAACTTCCTTTTTCCTTTCATTCTGCCATCAGAGTTCGTACCAGATGGACGTGAGTAAGAGACCTGACTCTAAAGGACCCTGATTTAAGTTACCTCTTAGCATCAGTTCTGAGGTTTTTTACCCCTGGACTCATGCTTTATGTCCAGATCGTCCTGGACAATTATTGAGGAGACCCAGGCGCCTTCAAGCCGGTTCTTTTGGCACCAAAGGAAGATCCTGAATCTTCAAAACATAGGCCATCTGAACTGGGGTTGTGGTTTGCTCTGGCATTCACAGCCATTGAGGAAGGAGGAAACTTGGTGAGGCTTCTCAGCTTCAAACCCCTTGGACCCAGGACGAGTTGAGACTGTAACGTATGTTTTCCTTCACCCCTCTAAAGTTTTCCAGCTCATTGCTTTGAAGAAATGACTTTGTGATAAATAAAACTTATCTTGAGCTATTTACAGCGTTTTGGGTTTTTGGGAGTTCCAGTTTCCTAAAGGAGGGCAAGAAGCAATCCCTTGGGGGAAAGGTGCCATGTCCATCCCTCCTTCATTAAGACTAATAGCCCCCAAGCGCGACGGCACACTCCTGTTCCTCTTCTTTCTTTTTCTCCTCCTCCTCTTCCTTTTTTACTCTTCTTCCTCCTCCTCTTCCTCCTCCTCTTCTTCCTCCTCTTCTTCCTCCTCTTCTTCCTCTTATTATTCTTCTTCCTCCTCCTCTTCTTCTATTCTTCCTTTTTTACTCTTCCTCCTCCTCTTCTTCCTCTTCCTCCTCCTCTTCTTCCTCCTCTTCTTCCTTTTCTTCTTCCTCTTATTATTCTTCCTTCTCTTCTTCTTCCTCTTCCTTTTCCTCCTCCTCTTCTTCTTCCTCTTCTTGTTCTTTCTCTTCCCCCTTTTTTTCTTCCTCCTCTTCTTCCTCCTCCTCTTCTTCCTCTTCCTCTTTCATCTTCTTCTTCATAATATACTGTTTTTTCTCTGAAAGAGACTCAAAGCAGCAAACAGCAGTAAATTATTATTATTATTTATTTACAGTATTCATATACTGCCTTTCTCACCCCTAGGGGGACTCAAAGCGGTTTAAAAACCAATAGAACACAATGTAAAACCTAAAGACTATAAACATTAACATAGAATTAAACTTATATTTATGGAAAATGGAGCATTTACAACCCTTGAAACAGCCATTATTATAATATTTATTTATATAACAAACTGATGTACACATACACCCTTTTCAAGGCAGCGCTGTCCCTCTGCAATTTGAGGTACAAAGAAAGGCCGAAACTAAGACAAGTCAAACCTGCATTTTGGACTTTAGGAGAGCTGATTTCTAAAAAATGAAGGAAACACTGAGCAGCATTCCGTGGACACAGATACTAAAAGACAAGGGAGTTACGGATGGATGGGAGTTTCTCAAGAGTGAAATACTCAAGGCGCAGTTGCAAACCGTGCCAACAAAAAGAAAAAATAGGACAAGTGCAAAGAAGCCAGAATGGATGTCCAAAGAACTTCTAACTGTGCTGAGACACAAAAGAGACATGCACAAGAACTGGAAAAAGGGAGAAATCACCAAAGAAGAATTCAAACAAATAGCCAACAGCTGTAGGGAAAAGGTCCGCAAGGCTAAAGCACAAAATGAGCTCAGGCCTGCCAGGGACATTAAAAACAATAAAAAGGGATTCTTTTCAGTAGAAAAAGGAAAAACAAGGAGGTGATAGGGCCTCTTCGAGGAGAAGATGGGGCAATGCTGACGGGGGATAGGGAAAAGGCAGAACTACTTAATACCTTCTTTGCCTCGGTCTTCTCACAAAAAGAAAGTCATCTTCAACCTCAGCAAGATGGAGTGGATGAGGGATTAGAGGACATCCAACCCCAAATTGGGAAACAAGTCGTCCAGGAATACCTGGCCGCTCTAAATGAGTTCAAGTCCCCTTTCAGGGCCAGATCAACTCCACCCCAGAGTATTGAAGGAACTAGCGGAAGTCATTTCGGAACCATTGGCAACCATCTTTGAGAGTTCTTGGAGAACGGGAGAAGTTCCAGCAGATTGGAGGAGGGCCAATGTGGTCCCAATCTTCAAGAAGGGAAAAAAGGATGACCCAAACAACTACCGTCTGGTCAGCCTCACGTCAATACCAGGCAAGATTCTGGAAAAGATTGTTAAGGAAGTGGTCTGCAAACACTTAGAAACAAATGCGGTCATTGCTAATAGTCAACATGGATTTATCAAAAACAAGTCATGCCAGACTAATCTGATCTCTTTTTTCGATAGAGTTACAAGCTGGGTAGATGCGGGGAATGCCGTGGATGTAGCGTACCTGGATTTCAGTAAGGCCTTCGACAAGGTCCCCCATGACCTTCTGGCACGGAAACTAGTCCAATGTGGGCTAGGCAAAACTACGGTGAGGTGGATCTGTAATTGGTTAAATGGACAAACCCAGAGGGTGATTCTCCCCAAGGCTTCCTCCTCTTCATCTTGGAAAAAAGTGATGAGTGGAGTGCCATCCGCAGGGTTCCGTCCAGGGCCCGGTCCTGCTCAGGATCTTGATTAATGACTTAGATGAAGGGTTCGAAAGCAGATCATCAAGTTTGCAGACGACACCAAATTGGAGAGATAGCCAATACTCCAGAGGACAGGAGCAGGATTCAAAACATCTTGAGAGATTAGCGAGATGGGCCAAAACTAACAAAATGAAGTTCAACCGTGACAAATGCAAGATACTCCACTTTGGCAGGAAAAATTAAATGCAAAGATACAGAATGGGGGACCTGGCTCGAGAGCAGTACGTGTGAAAAAGATCTTGGAGTCCTCGTGGACAACAAGTTAAACATGAGCCAACAATGTGATGTGGCGGCAAAAAAAGCCAATGGCATTTTGGCCTGCATCAATAGGAGCATAGTGTCTAGATCTAGGGAAGTCATGCTACCCCTCTATTCTGTTTTGGTTAGACCACATCTGGAATATTGTGTCCAGTACTGGGCACCACAATTCAAGAGAGATATTGACAAGCTGGAATGTGTCCAGAGGAGAGCGACTAAAATGATCAAGGGTCTGGAGAACAAGCCCTATGAGGAGCGGCTTAAGGAGCTGGGCATGTTTAGCCTGAAGAAGAGAAGGCTGAGAGGAGTATGATAGCCATGTATAAATATGTGAGAGGAAGCCACAGGGAGGAGGGAGCAAGCTTGTTTTCTGCTTCCCTGGAGACGCGGAACAATGGCTTCAAACTACAAGAGAGGAGATTCCATCTGAACATGAGGAAGAACTTCCTGACTGTGAGAGCCGTTCAGCAGTGGAACTCTCTGCCCCAGAGTGTGGTGGAGGCTCCTTCTTTGGAAGCTTTTAAGCAGAGGCTGGATGGCCATCTGTCAGGGGTGATTTGAATGCAATATTCCTGCTTCTTGGCAGGGGGTTGGACTGGATGGCCCATGAGGTCTCTTCCATGAGGTCTCTTTGATTCTATGATTCTATGATTCTCTGAGATTCCTCCTTTGCCCTGAGGATCAAAGAGATTCATCGTGTCATAGGCTTGCCTGTTCCATATATTTCTGCATCCGCTGGTTCCCCCTTTGCAAGAGGGCTGGTGCCAAGCATAATGCCCCATTGACCTGGTGGATATGAATTGCCCCTTTGAGCTGCCTCCTTCCCTGCCTTTGACTTTGTGGGTGGCAGAGGGAGACTCCCAGTCCCTTCCTTTCCTCCTCCTTTCCTGAATATTCATGACCCACCTTCTCTCCTCCTCCTCTTCTTCCTCCTCTCTCTCTCTCTCTCTCTCTCTCTCTCTCTCTCCATTCCTGTGGATTTGTTCCTGCAAAACCTTGGTCATCCAAGCTAGTCTGACACCCTCTCACTATGGCTAGCTTTTGGGATACTCTCAAGTTCTGCCTCCTCCTCCAAATCGTCTCCATCTCTCTGGCTCAGTTTGTAAGTGCATTTCTTTAATATTATTCTACTTGAAAATATGATACATCTTTTGTGATGGGTTAGAAATGAAGGTCTTTTGATTGGGATGTACCTGGGAGAGCTTAGAAATCAATGCTGGGTCTCCTTATGAGATCCAATGCAGGTAAATCCTCCCTGAATAATGTGTCTTAAGAGTTCCCTTTTCTTGCTAAGGTGCAGAGGGCCCCTGGTGTCAAATTAATTTTCCTTTTGTTCAGTGTGAAGCTTCTGCATTTCCAATTGCTTCCCCCAAAATTGCTCTAGGAAATTGGTTCTAGAGTTATGGAAGGGTTTGGAGTTTGAGGAACTTTGCCATCCCTAAGCTTTTTACCAGTGTTTCTCAACCTTCCTAATGCCGCGATCCCTTAATGCAGTTCCTCATGTTGTGGTGACCCACAACCATAACATTATTTTCGTGGCTACTTCATAACTGTAATTTTGCTACGGTTATGGATCGTAATGTAAATATCTGATATACAGGATGGATTTTTATTCATTGGACAAAATTTGGCACAAATATCCATTGTGCCCAAATTTGAATACTGGTGGGGTTGGGGGGGGGGGGTTGATTTTCGGGAGTTGTAGTTGCTGGGATTTATAATTCACTTACAATCAAAGAGCATTCTGAACTCCACCAATGATGAAATTGAGCACACAGAACTCTCATGACCAAGAGAAAAAACTGGAAAGGTTTGGTGGGCATTGACCTTGAATTTTGGAGTTGTAGTTTACCTACATCTAGAGAGCACTGTGGACTCAAGCAATGATGGATCAGGACCAAAATTGGCATGGATACTCAATATACCCAAATGTGTACACTGGTGGAGTGTGGATAAATTTTGGAGTTGTAGTTGCTGGGATTTATAGTTCACCCATGATCAAAGAGCATTCTGATTCCCACCAATGATAGAATTGGGTCAAACTTCCCACACAGTATCCCCATGATGAACAGAAAATACTTTGTTTTCTGATGGTCTTTGGCGGCCCCTCTAACACTCCCCTCGCAACCCCCCCCCCCCCCCCCCCCCCCCCCCCAGGGATCCTGACTTCGAGGTTGAGAAACGCTGCTTTAGAAGGATGAAAGGTCCTTCCAGGTGATTCCATGGATCACAATGAGTTGTGTTAAGCATGTAATGCATTCCATTCCATTTTGGTTTTGTGTGCATTTTAATGTTCTTGTATCCCACTTCAAACAATGGGTAACAAAAGTAGGTAACAAATAATATTTACCATTATTATTATTATTATTATTATTATTATTATTATTAGAACAGAAAAAAAAGTTGGTGGTGGATAAGTGGAAGTCGGCAGCAATATCTAACTCCCTACCCTATAAAATGGCATGAACCAAGCAGGATCATTACAAAATTATTGCAAGATAAAATGCATTTATTTAAAGTACTTAAAACCAAAGATCCCAGATGTTTACAGATGCATCTACATTGTAGAATTAACACACTCTGACACCACTTTAACTGCCCTGGCTCAATGCTATGGAGTCCTGGAAGTTGTCGTTTTCCATAGTCTTTCTCCTTCTTCCAAAGAGCGTTGATGCTTCACCAATCTACAACATTAATATTCCATCGCATTGAACCTTGGCAATTAAAGTGATATCGAACTGCATAAATTATACTACATATATCTTGGGAATAATATCTTCTGCTTCTGTATCAGTGCAGTTCCACCTACAACTGAACATTTGTTCGAAAAGAGGACTTGGAGCTTGGAAAATTGTCATTTTTACAGGCTAGAACATATGTAATCTCTCATTCAGAGTAGTATTGCAGATGCCATATGGGGATTCTTGGATATGCAGTCCCAAAAAGAAATGTTTCCCAATCTCTGTGAGTTCAAGAACAAAACACAAAGAAACCTTGCAGCTTTCCCAAAGTACAAAGGGATCTATTCATTCATCAAGAACCAGCAGGCATTCCCCGTCTGCAGCGGCTTCAAAATGGCTATTTTATAAATCCAGTAGTGTTAGTAAAGGTATACCTTTTATTCACAAATGTACCAGATGCTGAAATATAATCCTGAAAGAAAACAGGAGGGGAGGAAGCAAGACCACAGGCACCAAACCTTTCTGAAAGGCAACTGGACTTTTTTAATTTTAATTCCATGTTTCTGTCTGGGATTTTTGTTCAATCTAATCCTATATAATGCATTCCCTAACGAAACAAGGATGTATAACAGCGTTCATCAACCTGGGGGTCGAGACCTCTGGGGGTTGATGAGGGGGCGTCAGAGGGGTCGCCAAAGGCCATCAGAAAACACAGTATTTTCTGTTGGTCATAGGGGTTCTATATGGGAAGATTGGCCCAATTCTATCATCAGTGTGGTTCAGGATGCTCTTTGATTGTAGGCAAACTATAAATTCCAGCAACTACAACTCTCAAATGTCAAAGTCTATTTTCCTCAAACTCCACCAGTGTTCACATTTGGGCATATTGAATATTTCTGTCAAGTTTGGTCCTGATCCATCAATGTTTGAGGCCACAGTGCTGTCTGGATGTAGGTGAACTACAACTCCAAAACTCAAGGCCAATGCCCACCAAATCCTTCCAGTATTTTGTGTTGGTCATGGGAGTTCTGTGTGCCAAGTTTGGTTCAATTCCATCACTGGTGGAGTTCAGAATACTCTTTGATTGGAGGTGAACTATAAATCCCAGCAACTACAACTCCCAAATGACAAAATCAATCTGCCCCATTTTTAAATTGGGCATATTGGGTATTTGTGCCAAATTTGGTCCAGTGAATGAAAATACATAATGCATATCAGATATTTACATTATGATTCATAACAGTAGCAAAATGACAGTTATGAAGTAGCAACAAAAATAATTTTATGGTTGGGGGTCACCACAACATTAAGGGGTCGCGGCATTAGGAAGGTTGAGAACCACTGCCCTAGGAGCTTGCCTTCTAAGGATTGAGATAGCGGAGCAAAGAAAATCAGTCTCATAATGCTTGACTAAATGCAACCCATTGACTTTGTGCCAAAGTTTAGGTAGGACTGTCCTCACAGACGTCCTAACTTCTCAGCGTTCTTTTTCAACCCATCAGTTGCTCCTTATTAATTTCTGCAGAAAGATTATGAGGATCACAACTGCATTGTTTTAGAATGTATCCCAGTTCCACCCATTCTGCAGATGGGAATATTTGAGCCTGCAAGACCTGAGCAGGGCTGGTGAGAACAGGTGACCTGGAGGTCTCTCATTCATAAGTTGAAGTCGGTCAATAGCAAGAGTTCCTTCACAGAGCAGGGATTGTATTCCCAGGTTTCACAGACATTTCTCCTGCATTTGCTGGACCACATTGGCATCCATCTGTCACCTGAAATGCACTCTGGGTTGTTTGCTGGGACAGACTCGGTCCCATAGGTTGAGTCAATCCAGGTGCTATAAATATATAGAAAAGAATCTATGTTCTCATAGTAGCTCCTTGTTTCACGAAGGTTGGTTAAGTTGGGAAGACTTGATTATTTCTATAGAGCCCTTGATTCAGGCAGAAAGAGAGAGAGGGTGCATCTACCTTGTAGAATTAATGCAGTTTGACACCGCTTTAATTGCAATGGCTCAATGCTATGCAATGAGGGGAGCTTCATTTGGCAAGGTTTCCAGCCCACTCTGCCAAAGACGGCTGGGGTCTCACCAAATTACAGTTCCTATGATTCCATTGCATTGAGTTGTAGTAGTTCAAGTGGGATCAAACTGCATTAATTTTACAATGTAGATGCACCCAGGGAGATCAAGTGATTATTTATGTATGTGAATCTTTTGATACAAAATCAAGTGAACAAGAACACTTACCTTCAACAGCATCAGATGTTTAGGACTTCAAAGGAAACTACTTAGGGCTGGCCACTTGCAAGGCCATAGGCTGGTGAGTCCACTCTGGGCTTTAGTCTGAACTGTAAAGAAACTATCCAAGGTGATGAAACCATTTTGAACTCTCTTAAGTTTCGGAATGGATTCACTGGTTCACGGACATGAACGCCACTGGTTATCCCTGTCTAAAACCCACTTGAGCATGTCACTCTTAAGGTGCATCTACACTAGCATTTCTCAGCCTAAGGGTTGGGACCCTGGGGAGGGGTCACAAGCAGGGTGTCAGAGGGATCAAAGACCATCAGAAAACACAGTATTTTCTGTTGGTCATGGGGGTTCTGTGTGGGAAGTTTGACATGAACGCCACCGATTATCCCTGTCTAAAACCCACTTGAGTATGTCGCTCTTAAGGTGCATCTACACCAGCATTTCTCAACCTAAGGGTTGGGACCCTTGTGGGGGGGGGGGGGTCACCAAAGACCATCAGAAAACACAGTATTTTCTGTTGGTTATGGGGGTTCTGTGTGTGGGAAGTTTGGCTCAATTCTATCATAGGATAAAAACATTACCATCACTATAAAACCACGCTATCTGAAATCATAAGCTAGGTCATTCTGTGTGGGAAGTTTGGCCCAATTCTATCGTTAGTGGAGTTCAGAATGCTCTTCGATTTTAGGTAAACTGTAAACCCCCAGCAACTACAACTCCCAAATGTCATGGTCTATTTTCTCCGAACTCCACCAGTGTTCACATTTGGGCATATTGAGTATTCCTGTCAAGTTTGGTCCAAATCCATCATTGTTTGAGTCCACAGTGCTCTCTGGATGTAGGTGAACTACAACTCCAAATCCCAAGGTCAATGCCCACCCTTCCAGTATTTTCCATTGGTCATGGGAGTTCTGTATGCCAAGTTTGGTTCAATTCCATTGGTGGTGGAGTACAGAATGCTCTTTGTAGGTGAACTATAAATCCCAGCAACTACAATTCCCAAATGACAAACCCCCCCACCCCCACCCCCCAAGCCCACCAGTATTCAAATTTGGGCGTATCAGGTATTTGTGCCAAATTTGGTCCAGCGAATGAAAATACATCCTGCATATCAGATATTTACATAACAATAGCAAAATTACAGTTATGAAGTAGCAACGAAAATAATTTTATGATTGGGGGTCACCACAACATGAGGAGCTGTATTAAGGGGTCATAGTATTAGGAAGGTTGAAAACCACTGATCTACACTGTTGAGTGAATGCAGTTTGGTATCACTTGTACTATCATGGTTTAGTACTATGGAGAGATAAGCCTATGTTGATTTATATCTCCTGCTTTGAGTCTCCTTTGTATAAACAAACATAATAAACATAAACATAATAATAATATTCCAATGCAATAGGAATCATGGAATGGAAGATTGAGTGAGGTTTTATAAGAAATCGGTTGTGAAGGATTCATGAGTTGGCTTTCACTGTTGTCTTTATCTTGTTTTCTAATGAAATATTTTGCAATTGGGCAATCCAGGTCTGAAGGGAAGTGGATGGCAACAAGAGGACTATAATGTCGAAGGCTTTCATGGCTGGAATCACTCAGTTCTTGTGGGTTTTTTCGGGCTATATGGCCATGTTCTAGAGGTATTTCTCCTGACGTTTCGCCTGCATCTATGGCAAGCCTCCTCAGAGGTGGAGGATGCTTGCCATAAATGCAGGCGAAACGTCAGGAGAAATGCCTCTAGAACATGGCCATATAGCCCGAAAAAACCCACAAGAACTAAGAGGACTATAGTTTTCTTTTTGCTCATTGTTGTGATTGTGAGCAAACCCAAGGCAGCAACACTAGCCCTGGATTTTCAGCATTCTATGGCTACTGCAATAATTTCCCTTTTCCTTTGCTTTTCATAGCAAGGTCCACCAGGAGAACCTGGACCAAGGGGGCCCCCAGGTCCGCCCGGCATTCCAGGAGCCGACGGCATCGACGTAAGTAAACAAGGCTTCAACCTGGAGAAAACTGGGGGAGAGGTATTGGGTACAAAGGGGGGCATTGTACCCAAGGCTGCAGTAGCATACAAAGAGTCTAGGTGGAGCTGGAGAGTCAGCTGAATATTGCAGTGTGGCTCTAAGAAAAGAAGATATATCCTAATTACAAATTACAAACATCCGACTTACAAACCGCTCATAGTTAAGAACGGGAATGAGACAACAGGAAGTGAGAGGCTAACCCTTGAAAGGGAAATTCTCTCCTGAAAGAATTATTATCATGGGGAAAAGGGATCTCCTCTGAAGAAGACGCAGGTTCGCAGATTGGGTGTGATCTTGGACTCATTGCTGAGCCTGGAACCTCAGGTTTCAGCGGTGACCAGGGGAGCATTTGCAGAGTTAAAACTTGTGCGCCAGCTGCGCCCGTACCTTGGGAAGTCTGACTTGGCCACGGTAGTCCACGCTCTGGTTACATCCCGTATAGACTACTGCAACGCTCTCTACGTGGGGTTGCCTTTGAAGACTGCTCGGAAGCTTCAAATGGTCCAACGCTCAGCAGCCAGGTTACTAATAGGAGTGGCACTCAGGGAGCATACAACTCCCTATAAAGCCCTAAACAGTTCTGGCCCTACTTACCTCTCCGAACGCATCTCCTCCTATGAACCAACTAGGACATTAAGATAATCTGGGGAGGCCCTGCTCTCAGTCCTTCCTGCATCACAGGCATGCCTGGCGGGAATGAGAGACAGGGCCTTCTCAGTGGTGGCCCCTCACCTGTGGAACGCCCTCCCTACAGTTATGAGATCGGCCCCCTCCCTATTGGTGTTTCGGAGGAAAGTGAAGACCTGGTTGTTCGAACAAGTATTCGATTAAGCAGTGTAATGAATATAGGAACACGGATTAACGGATGATGAGATTGGATTCTGATGAAACGCTAATGATTGTTATATTGATGTTTAATTGTTGATGATGCTATTGTTTTAACTGTCCCATAATCGTTTTATGATGTTTTGCATTGAATTTTTCTGTTGTTAACCGCTTTGAGTCACCTGAGGGCTGAGAAAAGCGGTATATAAATGAAGTAAATAAATAAATAATAATAAATAAGTTAACCCTTCCCTATGCTACCCAAAGTATGTGTGTAAGTATATAATATTTATTTATTTACCAGTTTTGACTTACATACAAATTCAACTTAAGAACAAACCTACAGAACCTATCTTGTTCATAACTTGGGGACTGTCTGTATATTCATGTATAAGTCTAGGAATTTAAATTTTAAAAAATCAACCCCCAAAACTTGGATGAACTTATCCATGGGTCAGTGTGTGAGTACTATACCTCAATGTTTATATATACAAAAAGGAAGCATTGCTGCTTTCCTGTCTATATGGAATGCCCCCCAAACCTGCCCTTGATTTATACATGAGGTCAACGTATACATGAGTATATATGGTAGGTTGAATACTCAAGTGCTCAAATCTAAAATACTACAGATATCTGTCTGAGATGGCGAAACATTTGCTTTCTGACGGTTCAGCATTGAAAAACGTTTTATGCACACGATTGTTAATAATATTGTGCATACAATTCTCTTCAGGCTAAGATAAACTGTAGATACGTGAGTATAAGCCTGGTTTTTCAGCCCTTTTTAAGGCTGAAAAAGTCCCCTTCGGCATATACTCGAGTCAAAGTTATTTATTATTTTACTCTGTTATTATTATTTTTATTATTTTACTTTCTTATTATAATTACATTTTTTACTTTGTTATTGCTGTTATTATTAGATTTATTATTTTATTCTATTTATTATTGCTTGTCCACTTTTGATGGATTTGTTTCAATCTGTTCAACTCGAGGATGTGGAGGCCCACCACATGCATCCTAGACCCCTGCCCATCCTGGCTGATAAAGGAAGCCAGAGGGGGTTTGGCAGGGTGGGTAAAGGTGGTGGTTAATGCCTCCCTTCGGGAAGGCAACATTCCAGCCAGCTTAAAACAAGCTGTTATAAAACCGCTGTTGAAAAAGCCATCACTGGACCCCACCCAATTCGTCAACTATCTGCCAGTTTCCAATCTCCCCTATTTGGGCAAAGTCCTGGAACGTGTGGTGGCCTCGCAACTCCAGGATTTCTTGGTAGACACGGATTATCTGGATCTGGCGCAGTCTGGCTTTAGGGCAGGACATGGTACTGAGACAGCCTTGGTCGCCTTAGTGGATGATCTTCGCCGGGAACTGGACAGGGGGAGTGTGTCCCTGTTGGTTCTGCTGGACCTCTCAGCGGCCTTCGATACCGTTGACCACGGTATCCTTCTGGGACACCTCGCTGGAATGGGCCTCGGGGGTACTGCTTTGCAGTGGCTCCAGTCCTTCCTCGAGGGTCGCTCCCAGAAGGTGTTGCTAGGGGACTCCTGCTCGACCCCACGGCCATTGTACTGTGGAGTCCCGCAGGGTTCAGTACTATCCCCTATGTTGTTTAACATATACATGAAGCCATTGGGAGAGAACATCCGGAGTTTCGGGGTTCGGTATCATCTGTACGCAGATGATGTCCAACTCTGTTACTCCTTCCCACCTGCTACTAAGGAGGCTGTTCAAGTCCGGCTGTACCGGACTGGATGAGGGCCAACAGATTGAAACTAAATCCAGACAAGACAGAGGTCCTCCTGGTCAGTCGAAATGCCGAACAGGGCATAGGGTTACAGCCTGTGCTTGGCAGGGTTACACTCCCCCTGAAGGCGCAGGTTCACAGTTTGAGAGTGATCCTGGACTCATCGCTGAGCCTGGAACCCCAGGTCTTGGCGGTGGTCAGGGGAGCTTTTGCACAATTAAAACTTGTGCGGCAGCTGCGCCCGAACCTTGGGAAGTCTGGCTTGGCCACGGTGGTCCACACTCTGGTTACATCCCGTATAGACTAGTGCAACGCTCTCTACGTGGGGTTGCCTCTGAAGAGTGCCCGGAAGCTGCAATTAGTCCAACGAGCGGCAGCCAGATTACTAACGGGAGCAGGGTACAGGGAGCATACTACTCGTCTGTTGCGCCAGCTCCACTGGCTGCCAATTAGCTTCTGAGAACAATTCAAAGTGCTGGTGTTGACCTATAAATCCCTAAACGACTCCAGCCCAGTTTACCTGTCCGAACAGATTCTCCTCTATGAACCATCAAGGTTGTTAAGATCTTCTGGAGGGGCCCTGCTTTCGGTCCCACCACCCTCGCAACAGCGTCTGGTGGGGACGAGGGACAGGGCCTTCTCGGTGGTGGCCCCTCGGCTCTGGAACTCTCTCCCACTGGAGATTAGAACTGCCCCTTCTCTCCTGACTTTTAGAAAGCTGGTGAAAACTTGGCTCTGGAATTTAGCATTTGATGAGTGAGTAAATAACTCTTGACCACACGGACAGATGGTGATGAATTGTGATTTCATTTTGACGACTTGGCCTTATGTAATTATATGATTGCTTTTAATGTATTATATGTATTACTGTATTATGGGATGTGATGTTTTAAAACTGTTGTTTATGAATCTTTGTTGTAAACTGGCCTGAGTCCCTCTTCGGAGGTCGAGAAGACCGGTATATAAAAGTTCTAAATAAATAAATAAATAAATAAATAAATAAATATTACATGTATTATTTTACTCCATTATTACTGTTATTATTACATTTCCATTATTTTTCTCTATTATTATTATTATTATTGCATTTATTATTGTACTCTATTATTATTGGAAGGATACATGAGCACATTTACATTGAAGGAGGTTAGAATAATGTTTTAATCAGAGCTGGACAGTCTTATCTTAAATTACAGTTTTTATGTAAATATTGAAAAACATTTAACCTACTGATGCCTCAATTAATGTAATTTTATTGGCATCTATTTTTATTTTGAAATTTATCTATTTTTATTTTGAAATTTATTTTTATTTTGAAATTTACCAGTAGCTGCTGTATTTCCCACCCTCGGCTTTTATTATTTATTTTATTTACTCAAGTCAATCCTTTTCCCCATTTTTTTTTTGTGGTAAAATTAGTTGCCTCTGCTTATATTGAGTATATACGGTATATGGAACATCAATGCATATCTGTTTAGAACTTGGATCCCATTTCTAACGTATCTCATTATGTATATGCATTATGTATTTCCAACTCCAAAGAAATCTACAATTAGGAACACTTATTGAGATATGGTTTCCTTACCTTGTATCCAGCAATGTGTATGTGTGTGGATGTGTCTTATCTGTTGACCCATGATGACACTATGAATTTAATAACACAACAGCAAAATTCACTTTCTAGACCACAACACCCAGAATCCCCAGGCTGTCAGGGGATTATAGCTTTTGTAGTCCAAAGAAATGCCAACTTTGCCAGCCATTTTGCATATAAAGGTGGAGCAATGCAACATTATGTACTTGGATCTGAATGGGAATTCCAGGACCTTATTGGAGCTGGTCAGTGGAATATGACATTTTGTCTCTACTTCTTGCACACATTCATATGTAAACCACTACATACACATAAGGGTTATTAGTAAAGCTTTTAATCTCTGGTTATAATTTTGTAAGTCGCCAATGGGTCATGGGGGCAGGGGCGGGAGGGGGATGCAAAAGAAAGTCAGCAGATAAATTCTACTGCTACTGCTACTGCTGCTGCTGCTGCTGCTACTACTACTACTATAATAATAATAATGTGTATTCTTGGTTTTGTAGGGAGATAAAGGTCCACCAGGTGCAGCGGGAAGCCCTGTAAGTATCCTAACACTGCCCCCCCCCCCCCGGCCCTTCAAGGTCTGCATTTTCAAGCTTAGGGGTCACCTAGTGTAGAAAATATGTATAGTTATTTCATGTGACAAAATGAAAATAATGCATAGTTCACATTTCATCAGCCCACACACTGCTTTGCCAGAGAAAGAAAATATGCCACACAGATGAACAGTAAAGAACACGTAGTTTACTCTTCGTAGTTCAGAACAACATATTTACAATCCTGTGATCAGTTGCATCGACTCGCATAATGTCCTTTTATGAGAGATTTAAAATGGTCTTTCTTTGTCCATGTAGTTAAACTCCTTCCAGCAGCTCATGAAGCAAGAGCACACTCCAAACTCGGTCTCTGCTTCTCTCTTCTTCTCTTTCTGCATTTGCATAGCTCAAGCCTGAACAAAAATGTAACAGTATCCAAAAGTTCCAGGCTCAGCCATCTCCCCGGGCCTTGCCCGACCAATCAGCTTCATGCATATTATTTTACAATTGATACACATACATTAACATGCTCCAACAGTTCAGGGAGCATTTGGGTTGTTTTCAGAAGGAATGGGATAATATGGTGTTTCTGGGCTGCGTTTTGGATTGGCAAGGAAGGTTTGCTTTGCATTTCAAGGGTGGATTTTGAATGGGCAAAAAGTGAGGCAGCAAGAAAAGGGATGGGGAAAAGTGACACCAGTGGGACATGGATGGACCCCTTGGCTTTCATTTGACATCCAGATGTTACAGGGGACAAATTTTGCTGTGTTTCTAATCCCAGCCCAATATTAATCAGGCCACGGCAAAGCCATTTTAGGGGAATCAATGCTATAGAATTCTGGGGTTATAATTTGGCAAAACTTTAGCACTCTTTGGCTGAAGATCTTACAAAACTCCCATGATTCCATAGCATTGAGCCATGGCAGTTCGAGGGATTCAAGCCTCATTAATTCTACAGTGTAGATGCCACCTGAGCTGCAGGTGAGATGTCAGCACTCTGGCATTGTTCTAAGCATGTCTTCATCATCAATTGTTGTTCATTCATTCAGTCGCTTCCGACTCTTTGTGACCTCATGGACCAGCCCACACCAGAGCTCCCTGTCAGCCATCACCTCCCCCAACTCCTTCAGAGTCAAGCCAGTAATCATCAGTTGGGGGGGTGGGGGTGGGGGAGTGGGGAGGTTATTTCCATATTATTAGGGTGGTGAATCTGCTTTGGATTTTAGTCTGAACTTTAAAAGAAGAATCTGAAAAACCTGCAGATAGTCTATACCAGGCATGGGCAAACTTTGCCCCTCCAGGTGTTTTGGACTTCAACTCCCACAATTCCTAACAGCCAGGAGACTAATACGAATTGTGGGAGTTGGAGTCCAAAACACCTGGAGAATCAAATTTGCCCATGTCTGGTCTCTACCCTACATTAACTAAGAAATCATTCCTACTTGAACCCCAGAGCCCACCTTAATGGTCAGAAGTTACATTGGGTGAAGGAGGTCCATTTGATGGAGGACAGGGTTTAAGGAGAATGGCCCCATGTCCCACTAATAAGTGAGTCTGTGACAATGAGAAGCTACTCTCGCAAGTCCTTGTGACATCATGTTGCTAGTTGGATAAAGTGGAAATGTTATCTTTCTTGTGCCCCAGTCATGAAAAGGAGGCCTTTGTTTCATGATGAGGTTGATGGCTCTTAAGGTGAGCTCGAGAGGGGCACTGATGCAGTCTTTCAGTATATCTTATGTCTTACTGTCTATGGAGCAGTTACCCAACCATACCTCTAGAATAGAAATCCACTACCACAATATAGAGTGCCAGTCCTAACATTCAGCACTTTGGATACCTCCCTTAAAGTTAACCTGGAGTGGATTGATTGACCAGATTGCCACCTGCTGCCACTGCAAACAGCCCGACACAAAGCAGGCATCCTACTTTTTTTGTGTCAGGAGTGACTTGAGAAACTGCAAGTCGCTTCTGGTGTGAGAGAATTGGCTGTCTGCAAGGATGTTGCCCAGGGGACGCCCAGATGTTTGATGTTTTACCATCCTTGTGGGAGGCTTCTCTCATGTCCCTGCATGAGGAGCTGGAGCTCACCCTCTCTCTCCGGATCCAAACTGCTGATCTGTCAGTCGGTAGTCCTGCTAACACAAGGGGTTAACCCATTGTGCCACCGGGGGCTCTAGGCATCCTATTCCACTATTATGATAATTTCCTATTCTACCATTGCTTTCTAAAATGAAATACCTTATCTTTTCCCTTCAAATATTTCTTTGTAAACAGGGAACCAAAGGAGAACCAGGCCTTCCAGGTCCAGATGGCCCTCCGGGGAAACCTGGGATTGATGTAAGTACAATGCAGTAGTAGTGCTCTTTCTTTTTTATTCTGTTCTATGCTCATGTGGGCCAACATTTAAAACTGGGATGGGCAACTTTAGTGGGTCCAGAAACCATGTTTTTTTTTTTTGCCCACAGATGTTGAGTGGAATTCCAACAATGCCAATTTGCTTTATTAGAATCATAGAATCATAGAATCAAAGAGTTGGAAGAGACCTCATGGGCCATCCAATCCAACCCCCTGCCAAAAAGCAGGAATATTGCATTCAAATCACCCCTGACAGATCGCCAGCCAGCCTCTGTTTAAAAGCTTCCAAAGAAGGAGCCTCCACCACACTCCGGGGCAGAGAGTTCCACTGCTGAACAGCTCTCACAGTCAGGAAGTTCTTCCTCATGTTCAGATGGAATCTCCTTTCTTGTAGCTTGAAGCCATTGTCCTGGTCTTCAAGGAAGCAGAAAACAAGCTTGCTCCCTCCTCCCTGTGGCTTCCTCTCACATATTTATACATGGCTATCATATCTCCTCTCAGCCTAAACATGCCCAGCTCCTTAAGCCGCTCCTCATAGGGCTTGTTCTCCAGTCCCTTGATCATTTTAGTCGCCCTCCTCTGGACACATTCCAGCTTGTCAATATCTCTCTTGAATTGTGGTGCCCAGAATTGGACACAATATTCCAGGTGTGGTCTAACCAAAGCAAATAGAGGGGTAGCATTACTTTCCTAGATCTAGACATTATGCTCCTATTGATGCAGGCCAAAATCCCATTGGCTTTTTTTGCCGCCACATCACATTGTTGGCTCATGTTTAACTTGTTGTCCACGAGGACTCCAAGATCTTTTTCACACGTACTGCTCTCGAGCCAGGAATCCCCCTTTCTGTATCTTTGCATTTAGTTTTTTTCTGCCTAAGTGGAGTATCTTGCATTTGTCACTGTTGAACTTCATTTTGTTAGTTTTCGCCCATCTCTCTAATCTGTCAAGATCATTTTGAATTCTGCTCCTGTCCTCTGGATTATTGGCTATCCCTCCCAATTTGGTGTTATAATAATATGATTATAACTGTATTTATGTTTGCATTGGTTGCCCTAAGGCTGGAGCGGCCTAGCTGTGAGGAGTGTGTTACCATGGAAACGATGCTGCAGAGGAGTGGGAGGAGCTTAGAGAAGGGTGTTTTTGAAAAGCGACAGTTAAGAGTCAGTCAGGTTGGAGACTCTGAGAAGGGAAGAGTCAGGTTGGAGACTCTGAGAAGGGAAGAGTCAGGAGAGAAACAGTGTTCGTGAATAGTCAGAGATTTCTTCAGTTAGGAAAGCTGAAGAGGAAAACCTTATTAGTTTCTTTAGTTAGAAAGAACTAACAAAGGCTTGTTTAGATCCCTAGTTAAAAGAACTAGAGATCTGGTGTTTGATCATAGAAGAATCAAACGGGGAGACTATTCACCACAGTAAAACATTGTTTATTGAAGTGCTTCACCACAGCAAGAGTTTTATAAGTTGCAACATCGAAAGTCTGAACTGTATCACAACCAAGTTACATGTATCGTTCTCTAAGTATTTGCCAAGCTTAACATCAAACTGCAACCATACGCTTTGTTTCAAATAAACTTGTTCTCTTTGGTTTTTAAAACTGCCTCACCTCCATTTATTCTACGCTCGGTGTACCCAATCTATCATAATTACCTCACAACACAAATAGGGCGGCATCCAGTGGTATTGATACAAGAGTCTTTTACAATTTGGTGCCGGCTTGTAGAGACTCCTTTGCACCTCTCAATTTGGTGTCGTCTGCAAACTTGATGATCATGCCTTCTCATTAGTTTATTTTCCAAATCACCAAACTGGGCCACAGCAATGTGTGGCGGGGGACGGCTGGTAGCATATGAAAACAACAATTTAAAAATTTAGAACAATGCCCAATAACCTATGGTGACAACTGCCGTAAGACATAGCCAAACTGTAGACAAGACAGGGGAATGGGATAGTGCAAATTGTATCTAAGGAACACGGGCATCAGATGAAAGTGCAGTGCTGTGTCATTAGTTGTGGACCATTGGGGCTAGTTTACATCCAAGTTTTCAAATCCCTATGGAAGTAGGATAGTGTGGGGACCAGCCTGATTTCCCTGGGTATGACAGAAGATTAATTGGGATTGCAAAACCACAGAACTGCATGAGCATAGTTTTATGCAATGCAAGTGCAGTGTTGGACCTCAGACATATTCTCGAAACTCATTTGCATCCCAGCTGTCTTTCTCTTTGCCAGATGTTATCCCTGGTCATCATCACTATTAATTTTATCGTATAGACGCACCCTTTATATGACTTACTTCTCTTATATAACCCACTTCTTTGAGCTCAGTGGAAGACTATGGTATTGTGAAGGCATTCTGTGAAAACTCCAGAGCTTGTATTCCACATCTTGTAGCATCGGATTGTTTCTGCAGGAACAGGTCCATGTTCCTCAAGATGATGATGGGATTCTCTCCTTTCTTTTCCAGGGTCTAACGGGGGCAAAAGGAGAACTGGGCCCATCTGGAAGACTGGGAGTCAAAGTAAGTGTTTTTCTTTCCTTGCTTGATCTCATTTCCAAAGCTCAAGTGATGGCACATTAGGTGGGGAGCATTTTGAAGACTGCAGTAGCTGAAGCTTACAGACTCAGAGGCAGATCTTAGAAATGGCTATTCTTTATTTATTTATTTATTTTATTTATATTATTTATATTCCGCCGTTCTCACCCCACAGGGGACTCAGGGCGGATTACAGTGTACACATATATGGCAAACATTCAATGCGAATTTGACATACAACGTGTACAGACATACACAGAGGCTATTTAACTTTTTCTGGCCGCCAAGGTAGCTGTCGCTTTCATCGTCCATCTGCGACACTGATGAAGTACTTCCGCATTCCCCGCATGCTTTTGCTGGAGTACTTTGCTGGAGTCTTTTTTATGGCCTCATAAATTAGTTAATTTAGCGTCCCCACACAAGGTGGTACCTAATTTTCCTACTTGACAGATGCAATTGTCTTTCGGGTTGCAAAGGTTGACAACAGGCTACACAATTGGTCGGAAGCCCACTCCAACCCGGGCTGGTTTCGAATTCATGACCTTTTGGTCAGAGTGATCTTAATGCAGCTGACACTCAGCCAGCTTCGCCACAATCCCTTTCAGAATGTAATTTCCAGAAAAGTAGAGAGAGAGAGTAGTGTCGTGGTTTGAGTGTTGGGCTCCGACTCTGAAGATGAGGCTTCAAATCTCTAATCAACTATGAAAACCTACTGGGTGATCTTGGCTGAGTCACACACTCTCAGCTGAATGAATGAATGACGTTAGCTTACTTCTGGTCCTGACCTGAACTTCTCTTCCCTTTTGCATTGACACAGGGCCAACCCGGACTTGTAGGACCACCAGGTCTCCCAGTAAGTATCTGTTCCTTGTTGCACACTTCTGTCAAGAAAACATACCAGAAGAATGTATCTGGTTTGTACACAGTGACCCTTTTTATGCAATAAATGAAATGTCGTGTGATGGGCCTTAGCTTTCTGCTCCCACAGGCCCCTTCTACACTGCCCCATAAAATCTAGATTATCTGCTTTGAATTGGATTATAACGTAGTGTAGACTCATATAATCCAAAGCAGAAAATCTGGATTTTATATGGCAGTGTAGATGGGCACTCTTATCTTTAAGTGTGATTTACTGGGGTGGTGGAGCCATCCAGTCCAATCCCCTGCCAAGAAGCAGGAAAATTGCATTCAAAGCACTCCTGATAGATAGCCATCCAATCTCTGTTTAAAAGCCTTCACCACACTCCGGGGCAAAGAGTTCCATTGCTGGACAGCTCTCATGGACAGGAAGTTGTCCTTTTCTGCAATTTGAAGCCATAATTCTGCATCCTAGTTTCCAGGGCAGCAGAAAACAAACTTGCTTCCTCCTCCCTATGACTTCCCCTCACATCTTTATACATGACCATTATGTCTTCTCTCAGCCTTCAATGTTGGTTCCTGACTGCCTTTCACATAATCTGCCATTATTATGATTATGTTTATTATTGGAGCACAATACTCCTAACCTCACAATTGTGGGGAAAAAGTATGGATCCTCGATGTTGCAATCCTAGGCAACAGCGGGACTGATGAGAAGCAACTGGAAAAGCTTACACAATATGAGGATTTAAAGATCGAACTGCAAAGACTCTGGCACAAGCCAGTAAAGGGGGTCCCAGTGGTGATTGGCACACTGGGTGCAGTGCCTAAAAACCTTGGCCTGCACTTAAAAACAATCAGCGCTGACAAAATTACCATCTGTCAGCTGCAAAAGGCCACCCTACTTGGATCTGCATTAATTACTTGCCAATACATCACACAGTCCTAGACATTTGGGAAGTGTCCGATGTGTGATCAAATACAAAAGCCAGCATAATGATCTTGTTTGCTGTGCACTAATTTTGTTGTGTATCTAATAATAATAATAATAATAATAATAATAATAATAATAATAGTAATAATAATGGATTATAAGAGCCCCCTTTCTTTGCTGAGATGCCTCTGCCAAAGCCTTGACATTTCCAGCACTTGATTCCTCATCCAGGACTTCTTATCCACTCTTGCTTTTTTCGTTTCAGGGGCCTTCCCTTCCAGGAACTCCTGTAAGTACCATCAATGGGAAATTGGGTTATACTTGTAACAGGTGATAGGAAAATGGCCTCTTCATATGCCAGAGGATTTTGAGAGTTGCTGGCAGTCATCTGGCTCTGTACGTTGTTATTGCCCAGAGTTTTGCTGACCTGCTTAGAATTTACTCTCCTGGCTGTTAGCCAGGAAGTTAAAATGCAAAGCCAGCAATATTTCTAGATGACCTCTCTCTCTTTCTCACACGGCTGGTTGGTACACACATTTGTGCTGCTTTGATAGTTTAAGGAGAGGGTCACTAAAGTCTTGCAGCCAAACACAACAGATTTCTTTGCTGTCGGTTAGAGAGGGCCTGTTGTCTTTCCTTTCTCCTTGCAATCATTGCCACAAGGCAGGCTAGAGCTCAGAGAAGTTTCCTTTTTGGAGAACAGCTCCCACTATGCTTAATCTGTCATGATCAGAGGAGGCATTTTGGGGAGGTGTAGCCTAAGCAAAGCCACTTTTCCAAATTCTAAGGCTGTATCTATACTCCAGAATTTTATGTATGTATGTATTTATTTATTTACAGTATTTATATTCCACCCTTCTCACCCCACAGGGGACTCAGGGCGGATTACAATGTATACATATATGGCAAACATTCAATGCCAAGACACACAACAGATAGAGACAGACTTTTTCTGGCCGCCAGGGGAGCTGTCGCTTTCATCGTCCATCTGTGACACTGATGAAGTACTTCCGTATTCTCCGTATGCTTTTTGCTGGAGTGCTTTGCTGGAGTCTTTTTTATGGCCTCGTAAATTTTGTTAAATTAGCCTCCCCACACATAGGTGGTACCTAATTTTCCTACTTGACAGATGCAACTGTCTTTCGGGTTGCAAAGGTCGACAACAAGCTACACAATTGGTCGGAAGCTCACTCCAACCCGGGCTGGTTTCGAACTCATGACCTTGTGCTCAGAAGTGATCTTAATGCAGCTGACACTCAGACACTCAGACTTTGGCTGCCGGGTTGACACCACTTTGGCTGCAGTGGTTCAATGGAGCTGTAGTTTTACCTGGCATTTAGTCTTCTCGGCCAAGCGATGCTGGTGCTTCACCAAACTACAGCTTCCAGGATTCCATAGGATTGAACCATTGTAATTCAGGTAGTGTCAAAACTGTATTATTTCTATGCAGTTCAGCATTGCTGATTGAAATTGAAATGAAGTGAGAAGTTGTGACTAGCACACACACATTGTGTGTTTTGTTTTGTTTTATTTTGCATTTAATGTGTATGAATAGATGAAATAACCTTGTTTCCTTTCCCTGTGTTTTCCCTCCTCAGGGCCCTCCAGGTCAAGTTGGACTTCCAGGAGAAATTGGGGCTTTGGGACCCAAGGTAATGGAAGCAGCAGGACTAGTCATTGTCATTGGGCAAAGTGAGCCTGAGGCAACTGCCTCCCAAAATTGGGAGGTTGCAGGCAGAGCAACATGCTCATTCCTTGAAGGTGTAGCCAAGAAGGCAATCCCTCTTCCAGAGCCGGAGAAAGACTCATCTAGTCTGGTTGGCTTTTGTTCATGGGACTTGATTTTCTTGGTGGCTGCTCCTCATCTGCAAAGTCCAAGGCTGAGCAGGAGACGAGGCTGGTCTCTTTTCTGTTGCTTTTGCAGCTTTTGTGGCAGAAGACAAAGACTTGATTTTTAATTAAAGTGGAAAATTGTCTGCTGCTGAAAAGACTATACTTTTCCCAATGTTTGTACTTAAAAAAATGGGTTTTAATGCTGTTGTGCTTTAACATGACCATTTAATTGCATTTTAATAACCAGTATCCTGTGTTACGGGGCATAATTTCTACAGCCCGGAAAACTCACAATAATTCAAAAAATCTATTTTACATGTCTCCATCAGTCCTTTGGACATATCTTTTGGTGACTTCAGCCCTCCATGGTCATGTCATGGCTTTTGGAATGAAGGAAACCAGGGAAGGCCTGGTTATGTCTCTGTAGTCCAATGGTTCTCAACCTGTGGGTCCCCAGATGTTTTGGCCTTCAACTCCCAGAAATCCTAACAACTGGTAAACTGGCTGGGATTTCTGAGAGTTGTAGGCCAAAACACCTGGGGACCCACAGGTTGAGAACCACTTCTGTAGTCAGATGTGGACCAATATCATCTTCTGCTGAAAAGTCACCAGGGCACATGGAGGTCTCCATAGTCATGCTGTAGGATCTAGGAAGTGCTTCGAGAGATCACTTCTGTATGTCTTAGTAAGTACTACAGCTGGAATGTATGGTCAAATTCTGGTTGAATCATATCATGCATGGGTAGAAGAAACCATGGGTACTGTTCCTATGGATACAGAGGCCAACAAATACATATGTGTCTGAATGCTATTCATCGACTCAGAGTTGAAAGAGACCACAAGGAGGGCCATGGCCAGGTGTGTTTGTGTGTGTGTGTGTTAAAAGTTCAACCCTGTCCTGAAATGTGTCAGGTTATAAAATAAACCTGGTTTACTCATAAATTGGTTAACCAGTTAAAATTCACGAGTAAACCAGGTTTCGGGGGGGGGGTTAGAACCCTTTTGGGGAGGGGTGGGGAGGTAGAACCCTTAACTCCCCCCCCCCCCCCGGCTTTGGCCCTGACCATAAGTACCATCCGGTCCAACACCCTGCCACGGAGAAGCACACAATTAGAGCACTTCCAACAGATGGCCATCCACTCTGAATGAGTCAGAATATTCCACTGCCAAACAGCTCTTAGTATAAGGAAATTCATCTAATGTTTATGTGGAATAACTTTTCCTGCAATTTGAATAAATTGCTCCATGTCCTAGTCTCCAGAGCAGCAGAAAACAAGCTTGCCCTCTCCTCAAGAGAACATCCTTTCATTGCTTAGTCCCATTACAGCTGGCCCATTTAACCAAAGAATTGATCTGTGTCAATTATACTATGTAACAAAATTTGAAAAAATTATGTTCCTGGTTTGAAAGTGTGGTACTTACTTTGAAAGTACCATATATACTCGAATATAAGTCGAGTTTTTCTGTACACTTTTTTTTAATGCTGAAAAAGGTCCCCTAAGTGAGGGTTCTGGAGGGAAGGCATTGGGCTGAAAGAAGCCCCTTTGCAGGGCTTCTACCAGCTACATGCCTCCTCTGCTTTTGGCACAGCAACTCAACTGGGTCTCTGTGCTGAGAGAGGGGAGAGGAAGGCATGCAGCCTTTCTTCTCCTCTTAACACAGCAACTCACCTGGGGCGCTGTTCCGAGAGGGGAGGAGAGGAAGGTGCATAGTTCATCAGCCACGCAATCTATTGCCAGGCTGGATCTGGCCTCTACTCTTGGCACAGCAACCAAGCTGGATTGCTGTACTGAGAGGAAAGGTGAGAAGTTGTATGCCTTCCTCTTCTTCCCTCTCAGCACAGCAACCCAGTTGGGTCTCTGTGCCGAGAGGAGAAAAAGGTGCACAGCCTCTCTTCTTGGTACAGCAACTCAGCTGGGTCGTTATGCCAAGAGGAGAGGAGAGGAAGGTGCATGGCTCATCAGCCACACACCTTACTGTTGGGCCGGGCCTAGCGTGGGCTAGCTTCTCCTCTCCTCTGTGCCGAGAGGAGAGGAGAAGCTGCATGCCTTCCTCTTCTTCCGTCTCAGCACAGCAACCTAGCTGGGTCTCTGTGCTGAGAGAGAAGGAGAGGAAGGTGCACAGCCTCTACTTTTGGCACAGCAACCGAGCTGGGTTGCTGTGCCAAGAAAAGAGGAGAAGCTGCATTTCCCACCCTAGGCTTTTATTCAAGTCTATACGTTTTCCAGTTTTTGTGGCAAAATTAGATGCCTCGTCTTATATTCGGATCAGCTTATACTCGAGTATATATGGTAATTGTTATACTCCAGAAACTTTGTTTTTGTGACTGCTACAAACTAGGTTGAATTGCCTGAAATTTGAGGATATATTCATTGAAAAACTAGAGCAAAATGTGCTGCAAGATGTCCCATTCGCAAGAACATATTTTTTTGCAGTTTAATAAACTTTCCCCATGTTTTTATGATATAACCAATTATGAAATTATATTTATAACTGAGGAACAAAAATTGTGTTACATCAAATACATTGATTCAGTGGGTCTGCTCTAGTTGGAACTAACTGATTGAAATCAGGCCATGATCTCTGTTGACGGTCTCTCCCTTTGGTAGGGATTCCGGCAGCATCAATGTTGAAACAGTGGATTCTGAATTGTCTTTTGGTGTATCCTGGTCATGATCAAGGCAACTGACATGCACTTGGGGTTTCTCTTTTTGCAGGGGATACGTGGACCTGATGGGCCACGGGGGCCTCCTGGACCTCCTGGGAAGCCGGTAAGTTTTGTTACATCGAAAGGTCCTTTAGACAAAACACTCATAAGGTAGAGTACAGTTGGAATTGTAATGTGAAGTATTGTTAGAAATAGCAGCCAAAGTTAGGAGTAGCACTTTTCTAACAGATGTTGATTGCAAAGCCTATAATGCAACTTAACTCCATGAATATACAAAGATAAAGACTTGTGAAAGATGTTTTGAAGCCTCATTGTGATCTAACTCTCAACAAATTGTCCTGTTTCAAAGTGTGAAAATCTGTTTTTTTCAAATTGAGAGCCCTGTCTGACCCTTAGCTCTTTTCCCTACTGTTAAGAATTAAAGGTAATATGGACATTTCTTTCCAAAGCTGGATATATCACTGTGTTTTGGGGTATTGTATTGTTTCTCGTTTTGCTTTTCTTCAGGGCCCGGTTGGCCGCATCCAAGGAGTGGAAGGCAGTGCCGATTTCCTGGTAAGAAGGAATTCCGGCATGCCAGAATGAATCATTTCATTTTTATTTCCCCCACTGCGCAAGATTACAAGAGATTTCGTGTACTTTTCACATTCAAAGCTTGTTTATATTAACATTGTTCATGCAAAAGCACTTTGAGTTACTCCACTACAAAGCCTAGTGTTTTTGCACAGACATCAGTGCACTTTGGTAAAATGCTGTGAAAAAATATTGGGTTTGGGATTTTTCTCCCCAAGGATTTTTGCACCAATGGATTTCCACCCCCTTCCCACAAAAATGTCCTGAAATGTGAAAAAAAATCTTAAAGGTGTAGACACTCAGAGACACCTCTTCTCACTGAGGATGAGAAAAATGGCATGTAGGAATACCTCTGACCTTAAACACCCAACCAGCTTGGTAATCAGCAAGCAGTTTATTGAAGAACATAAGTAGGCAAAGCAGTAAAATTAACAAAACCAATGAAGCTCCAAAACAAAGGTTAGTCCATGAACTTCAAAGCAAAACAAGACCCATCGGTATAAACATCCATGAAACAGGCTCAAGAATCCATGAAACAAGGCAGTATGAAAAATCTAATACACAAATCAGGAGCTTGGCAAAAACTTGGTACATGAAACTAAGAACACTTGAAAGCAAGACCCTCATGAAATTCCAGTGTTGACCCAACTGAGGCAACCCTTTCCCATGAATCAATATAAAGGTTTTCCAGATCCCAAGACCGAAAGGAAAGCATTTCTCTTGACCTTACCACCAGATAAAGATTTCTTATCTCTCTTTTCCTGTAAATGAGCTGATCTTGCGCCTGAGCACTCTGTCTGTTTACAAAAGCCTTCCTTTCTATCTACACTCTCATTAACCTGTGCACCTGTCAAATCATCTTCAGACAATTGGTCTAAGAAAGACTGTGAAGGGCCTCTCCCAGGAATGTGATCTTGTGAGTCTTCCTGAGACAGCTTGGGTCTTTCATTTGAGCTTAACTCAGGCCCAGGCAAACCCACATCCCCACTGCCAACAGACCCAGACCCACCATCAGGAACATGATCCCCATTCCCATCATGAACATCAGACACAATCACAGGCTGAACAGGCTGACATACAACATCTACACTGTTATTAGCACAGGTGAACAATTTATGCTCTGTTTAAGAAAACGTCTCCAGAATCCTCAGTCCACCATCTTCTTCTTCTCTTCTCCTCTAAAAACAGGATGGGAAACTATTAAAAATGAAATTTGTGAGAAGGTGAAACAAGTAAATATTTGCTTATTCAGGCCCAGGACTTTGAATACTAATCTCATCTAAGAATGGCTCCTTAGATTTGTTGTGTTTGGTATTTTCATTGTGTGCCTCCAACTCATTTCTGATTCATAGCGACCCTAAGGCAAATCTATTAAGGGCTTTTCTCTGGAAGATTTGGTCAGAGCGAGTTTGCCTTTGGCTTCCTTTGCGGCCGAGAGGGTGTGACTTAGCCATGGACATCCAATGGGTTTCCATAGTTGAGTGGAGAATTCAAGCCCTGGTCTCCAGAGTTGAAGCCTAATGTTCAAACCTTGCACTGTTTCTCCATCATTTTTATCTCCTCTCATTTTCTCATCTCAAGCAGCTCCATAGTAGGTAGAAAACGAAAAGGCACTCTAAAAAGACATTTGTTGAGAAGGCAATTGTGGAAGTGTCCCATCAAATTCTCTCAAAATACCCTTTGGCTAAACAGGCAAGCTGGTTGAGCTTTCCAAAGCACAGCATGGCAATACACAGCCGCCTGACTCAATAACATCAGCTTTAGGAGAAGAACAATAAAGCGGCAGCAATAAAAAAAATCTGACAATAAGAACCAACAAGGCTAAAAGGCTTGGCAGCAAATCCTTTGCATGAAGAATTGACTGCCTTGCTGTTGGTTGCTGTTGTGAGCCTTTAGACCCACTTACAGCCATCTTATTGCAAAACAAGTTGTATTTAGAAAGGCTTTGCCATTGCTTTCTTCTTGAACTGAGAGAGTGGAGATGCCATAGTCACCTTTCCATGATGGAGTGGATATTTGAACCCAGTTCTCCCTGAATCCTAGGGCAACATGTACAGTGTATCTCCTAGTATGAGTTTCTGGAGAACACAAGTGCCATTAGGGTTCACATCCTTGATCATGGGCTTCCAAGAAGCTGTAATGAGAAGCAGAATCATAGAGTTGGAAGAGACCTCATGGGCCATCTAGTCCATCCCCATGTCAAGAAGCAGGAAAATCACATTCAAAGCACCCCTGACAGATAGCCATCCAGCCTCTGCTTAAAAGCCTCCAAAGAGGGAGCTTCCACCACATTCCAGGGCAGAGAGTTCCACTGCTGAACAGTTCTCAAAGCCAGGAAGTTCTTCTTAATGTTCAGATGGAATCTCCTTTCCTGTAGTTTGAAGCCAGAAACTTTGGACCTTTGGTCAGATCCAGCAGGAGGAGCTCTGGATTTTGTTGGCATAGTCCAAGGCATAAAACCCCTTTAGGGAAAGCATTGGATACCGCCTTTGAAACTTACATTAAATACGGGCGAGATGTAGCATCCTCCTGATTTGGAATCTGTTGGTCACCACCAGTGGCCTACTTATGCCCTTTTCAGATGGTGACATTTATTTATGTATTTATTTACAGTATTTATATTTCACCCTTCTCACCCCGTAGGGGACTCAGGGCAGATCACAATGCACACAGACATGGCAAACATTCAATGCCATAGGCACACAACATATATAAACAGAGACAGAGAGGCTATTTAACTTTCTAGCTTCATGAGGGCATGCTTTTTTAAATTCCGGCCACCGGGGGCACTGTTGCTATACCATTCACTTGTGACACCGATAGAGTACTCCCTTATTCTTTTGCATGCTGCTGGGGAGTTTTTTATGGCGTCTTAAATTAGTTAAATTAGCCTCCCTGAATAAGCGGTACCTAAATTTCCTACTCGACAGCTTCGAACTCATGACCTCTCGGTCAGTAGTGATTTTAATGCAGCTGACTCCCAAACAGCTGCGCCACATCTCCTCCAACTTTTCTGCATTGCTAAGCCCAGTGTATCTCCCATTCGTCTTGCACTCTGTGAATTTCCTGCAGGATATTGTTGTCATGTCTTCAAGTCAGTTGTGAATTATATTGATCCTCTCATGGGAGTTTCTTGGCAATATGTGCTCCAAGCAGGTTTGCCCTTGCCTTCATCCAAGGCTGTGAGATAATGACTTTCCCAAGGCAACCCTATAGGTTTCTTTGCTCAAACTGGGATTCAAACTGCTCTCCCAATATGCTAGCCCAGTGCTCAAATCTCTACAGCAAACTGTTTCTCATGGAGTAGGAATACCTCTCTCTTGGAATAGGCTCGCATATGAAATAAATAAAAAACCAGATACTTTCTGATCCAGAAGTAATTATACCCAGTGGTTGCATTTCTTGGTTGAAAAAGAGTTCCCTAATGTGCCCTCTGTCTCTGCCTTTTGGTCTTCTCTCACAGTGCCCAACCAATTGCCCACCCGGACCCAAAGGACCTCAGGGATTACAGGGTCTGAAGGTAAGGACTAGCCTGTTTTACATTTTGCAGTTGGGCTAATGATGATGTCAATAGTCTAGGATTGTGGGAAACTCATCTTCTGCAGCTAATACAGCCACATGCTCAAGGATGTTTAGTTTAGTTGAACTAAATCTGGAAACCTTAGTTTAGTGTATCTCAACATGTGGGTCGGGACCCCTGGGGGGGGGGTCGCGAGGGGGGCTTCAGAGGGGCCACCAAAGACCATCAGAAAACACATCTTTCTGATGGTCTTAGGAACCCCTTTGGCAGATAAGGCTGAAGATCTCTCTGCCTGTCCTTCTTTTCCTTTTCAGTGTTGGTGAACTAGAACTCCCAGAATTTAAAAAAAAAAACAGCCCCCTCAATCCCAGCAGTATTCAATGTTGGCCATGTAGGCAGTGTGCCAAGTTTGGCGCAGATCTATTGTGGGCTGGGTTTAGAGTGCTATTTAATTGTAGGTGAACTATAAATCTAAGCAACTACAACTCCCAAATGTCAAGGTCTATTTTCCCCAAACTCCACCAGTGTTCACATCTGGGCATTTTGAGTATTTGTGCCAGGTTTGGTCCAAATCCATCATTGTTTGAGTCCAGTGCTCTCTGGATGTACTACAACTCCAAAACTCAAGATCAATGCCCACCAAACCTTTCCAGTATTTTCTGTTGGTCATGGGAGTTCTGTGTTCCAAATTTGGTTCAATTCCATCATTGGTGGAGTTCAGAATGCTCTTTGATTGTAGGTTAACTATATATCACAGCAACTACAACTCTCAAATGACACAATCAATTCCTGTCCCCACCGCACCAGTATTCAAATTTGGGCGTTTTGCGTATTTGTGCCAAATTTGTGCCAAATTTGGTCCACTGAATGAAAATACATATCAGATATTTACATTATGATTCATAACAGTAGCAAAATTACAGTAGCAATGAAAATAATTTAATGGTTGGGGGTCAGCACAACATGAGGACTTGTATTAAGGGGTCGCGACATTAGGAAGGTTGAGGACCACTTTCTTAGCTGGAGATGACCTTCAGGGTATCTTGTCCAAGTTGTTGGAGATGGCAAACCCTTGCAGACGTGTCAAAGCATTACCTGGATATCTTGCTTTCTTGGTGTGTTCAAACCGCATGCAATGAGTGAAAGATCCCAAGTCAAATGACTGGAGAGCTGGGAACATTTTGGTGGAAATGGTTCCCTCATCAGGAATGCAGTTTTTCAATGTGGCATGTCTTTCTTTCTAGGGACACAGAGGCCGCCCTGGAGCCCTGGGAGAACCTGGCAGACAAGGAAAACCGGCGAGTATTTCCAAACACTTTTCTCCATTGTGTTGTTGTTGTGTGTCTTCAAGTCAATGCCAAATTATGGCAACCCTATATCTATTCAGAAGATATTTGTCTTTGCCTTCCCGTGGCTGAGAGATTGTGAGTTGTCCCCAAGTGAGTTTCCAAAGCTGAATGAGAATTTGAACCAATGTAATATCGGGCACAATTCAAAGTGCTGGCTTTAGCCTATATAGCCCTAAACAGTTCTGGCCCAACGTACCTATCTGAACGCATCTTCCCTTATGAACCTGCTAGGACTTTAAGATCGTCCGGGAAGGCCCTGCTCTCGATCCCGCCTACGTCACAAACACGTTTGGTGGGGATGAGAGACAGGGCCTTCTCAGTGGTGCCCCCTCAGCTATGTAACACCTTTCCTGGGGACATTAGATCAGCCCCCTCCCTCTTAACATTTTGGAAAAGAGTCAAGACTTGGTTGTTTGAGCAAGCATTTGAAAATGCAAGGTAATAGACATAGGAATTGGAACGACTGAACGACGAGATGGGACAATGTTTTTTATTAAGAGACACAAATGATCTATGTTTTAATATTCTTGTTATGGTTTTATATTATGTGTTAATGTTTTTAAATGTTTTATGGTGTTTTTGGCAATTGAATCATTGCCATGGTAAACCTCCCTGAGTCTCCCGAGGGCTGAGAAGGGCGGTATACAAATACAGTAAATAAATAAATAAATACATAAATATTTTTGTGGTCAGCATCTGGCTGAAGTTGACTATAGAGCCATGCTGGAGGTCCTAGTGACTGTGGAAAGCTGATATATTTTATGACCACAAAGAAACAATATATTGCTGCAGATCTAACCGGATGCTGGATGAAGGTGAGGCAGAAGGAGAGGCAAGGTAGATGAATTTGAGAAAAAGAGAAGCAAAACAGGTGGGAAGGTTTGAGAACCCTATAGTATTATCAAAAGGAAAGAAAAAGATGGCTCTGTGTAAATGAAAAAGGTTGAGGGGAGATCCAGGGCTGGCATCTCTGAATATTTTCTAATTTCTACCTGTTACCGAATGAAAGTTTCCAGCTTTGAGATTATCGTACAAAACTGCTTTGGTTTGCCATTTGGCTGTGATGTCTAACCCATTTTTATCAATATTTCTGCAGGGTCCGAAGGGTGACACAGGTCCCTCTGGAGAACAAGGAATCCCTGGCCCTCCCGTAACGTATTTATTTCTGTTTCTTTAGCTTTTCTTCTTAAGGAAGAAGTTCTCTGAGATCAGCCATCTAGGTTGTAATGTGGATTCTATTGGAAGGGGCAAAGCTTGGTGGTCCAGGGTGATGGAGGATTGAGAGGTTAATGGAAGCCCTTCTTTGGCTTCCTTCAGAGTCAATGGAGGGAGGAGGAGGCCAGCCTGTTGGCGACTCCAAAGGGATCTCTAGATGCACCATTGTGACACTAAGATCAATGTTTGCTGGACATTTACTGGATCTGGAGGACCTAGAGATCCCTGGAGAGAACATCTCTATCAATCTCTAGGTCATTCAGTAAAACCCCATGGCCAGTTTCTGGAATGCAGCCATTTGAAATGTTACTCTTTTGGACAATGAGACCCATGGTTCTGGGTGTTAAAAGTAACTTTTCCAAGCTCTGAGTCAGATTGCATAGGTTCAAGGGCAAGTGAGTGTTTTGGGGCAACCTGGGACAAGGCTTTTGACAAATCTGTCTCAATTTATCATGTAACCACTGAAGCATTCTGCTCTTAGCATCTCCTAAAACCATCCTCTTGAATTAAAAGCAATTTGGCTTTGATGTTCACAACTCCTTGCAGGACATTAGCTTAACAATGACATTACCTCAAAATCCCATAGATTTATGCAAGCAAATTGAAAATAATACTGACTCTGAAACACAATTGCTGTTGCTTCATTTGGTCTTGTCATCAGTTTGCTTGCATAAATCTATGGGCTTTAGCTTCAAGATATGACTTTATCTGCTAGGGTCCATTTGTGCTACAGTTGGCTCTCCACGTTCATAGGTTTGTCTTTTGTGGATTTAATTTTTTACAGATTTGATTACAATATTATTTTAAGGAATCTCCAGGCCCTCCAGTGTGACTCTGTGGTCAACTTTCCCCAGAAGGTGGCCACAGAGTCATGTTGAAGCACTAAGCGGTTCCAAGATGGAACACCTCCCTAGGAATCTCTTGATGGTCAACTTCTACTGGATGTTGTGTTGAAAGACCTAGAGATTTCTAAACAAGTGTTCTTCAGGGTTTTTTTTAATTAATCATGTTTTTTATTTGGGGACAACTGGGGAGGGTTGATTGTCCATAAATATAGTGTCATGTTCTACTTTAACTGCCATGCCAATCTTCTGAGGAATTCTGGAGTTTCTGGTTTGAGGAGGCACTAGGGGATCTTCATGTATTCTACAATATGCTTAATGACATTACAAGGAGGTCATCCCTACTTCTCAGGTTTCGGAGCTGAAATCTCAAGACATGTCATAGTTTTGTCCTGGGGCCCATTCGCACTACACAGCTATAGTGCTATGATTCCAGCTTAACAATGGCATTACCTCAAAAGCCCAACGACTATATCTCCATCCTGTGGGATCCTGGGACTTGTAGTTTGCTGAGGCTCTGAGGTGTTTAGGCCTACAACTCCCAGAAATGTATGTATTTATTTATTTATTTATTTACAGTTCTTATATTCCGCCCTTCTCACCCCGCAGGGGACTCAGGGCAGATTACAGTAAACACATACATGTCAAACATTCAATGCCAGTTTGACAAACAATGTTTAACAGACAAATACACCGAGGCTATTTAACTTTTTTCTGGCCGCCAGGGGAGCTGCTGCTTTTCATCGTCCATCAGCGACACCGATGAAGTTCTTCCGCATTCCACATTCCCCGGAGTCTTTTTTCTTTATGGCCTCATAAATTAGTTAAATTTAGCCTCCCATACAAGGTGGTACCTTATTTTCCTACTTGACAGATGCAACTGTCTTTCGGATTGCAAAGGTCGACAACGGGCTACACAATGGCTGGACACCCACTCCAGCCCGGGCTGGCTTCGAACTCATGACCTTTTGGTCAGAGTGATCTTAATGCAGCTGACACTCAGCCAGCTGCGCCACAATTCCGGTTCCCTAATGTATGCATTTTCCCATTGAAGGCCAAAACATCTGGGGACCCACAGGTTGAGAACCACTGCTCTAGAGCTCTATGGCTAAGGATGTCTAAGTTGCAGATCCCAACATTTTATGGACTGTTGTCATGGCAGTTAAAGTGGAATATACATCCATAATTGTGTGGTATGAAAGGGCTCCTAAAATGATCTTTTTCCCCCTCCTCCTTTCTCTCTCAGGGCCCTCAAGGTCTGAGAGGATATCCTGGAATGGAAGGACCTAAAGGAGAAACGGTTGGTATATCGGGCAGAAAAGAAACGGTTGACTCTGTTGAAACAGGCATGCTAATATGCCAAGTTCATAATGCCTTGCTTTGACTAGCCTTGCTTTGGCTAGTCTTGAGTAACCCTTAAACACATTTCTGGGGTCCCTGCTAGTTGCAGGGATGGTGGAGAAACAACCTGGGGGTGAGAATGGAGGAATTACCGTACATACTCGAATATAAGCCGACCTGAATATAAGCCGAGGCACTTAATTTTACCACAAAAAAAAAAAAAAACTGGGAAAACAGATTGACTCGAGTATAAGCTGAGGATGGGAAATGCAATGGATACCGGTAAATTACAAAATAAAAATAGGTACTAATAAAATTACATTAATTGAGGCATCAGGGGGTTAAATGTTTTTGAGTATTTACATAAAAGTGTAATTTAAGATAAGACTGCTGAACTCTGATTAAACCGTTCTGACCATCTTCAGTGTAAATGTGCTTGCGTACCCTTCCAATAAAAATAAATAGAGTAAAATAATAAATGTAATAATAACAATAATAATAATAAATAGAGTAAAATAATAAATGCAGTAATAACAACAATAAAGTAAAATAATAAATGTAATAATCATAATAATACATTTATTACGTATTTATAACAGAGTAAAATAATAAATAACCTTGATTCGAGTATAAGCCAAGAGGGACTTTTTCAGCCCCCAAAAAGGTCTGAAAAACTAGGCTTATACTCGAGTATATACAGTAATATGTCTGTTGGTTATAATGCTTGGTGGTTGGATGTTTTGTAATCTCTCTTCCTCTTTATGCTATTTTTAAGGGTCCCCGTGGTTATAAGGGCATGATTGGAACCATTGGTGCTGCAGGTCCTCCGGTAAGGCCTTTTGATTATTTACATGGGCTCCTGATCTATTTATTACATTTCCCTTTGGTCACATGTTTATGCCTCTTGGCATCCTAGATTGCCATTAGATAGAAAGGGAAATCTTTTCTGTGATATTCTTGTGCCAACCTTCTTGAATGTGGCAGAAGAAGACAAACAGGGTTGGAGAATAGCCAACTGATACCTTGATGCTGCTTGGTTTCTGTTGGGTTTCCGATTCTGGCTGCTTGCTCAGGTTTTCAATCCGCATAGAAACGAACTAGTAGGAGTCATTGACCTAAATACAATGGCTACTCAAATAAGCAGACTTGTGAAATCATTGACAACATAGTAAGTTAAACCTTGCATTGATTTCATCAATTCTGTCATTGCTTTTGAGTGAGACTGATATTAGATTTAGGCCATCATGTTGGAAGTAGTTCTTCGAAGTGGTCATAACGAAGATCCCTTATCCAGAATCCCCAGATCCCAAATACTCCAAAACCCATAATTGTCCACATTAGTGGATTAGATAGTGACACCTTTGCTTTCGGAACCTTCAGAAAGCAAAAGTGTTGCTATCTCAGCCACCCATGTGGACAATGTTGCACACAAGCTTTGTTTCATGCATACAAATATTTTATAAAATTACCTTCAGGCAATGCGTACAAGATGTAAATGAATTTGGCATTTAGACTTTGGTCCATTTCCAAGGTGTTCGGTATACTCAAATACAGGTCCAAAATCCAAAACACTTCTGGTCCAAAGCATTTTGGATAAGGGAGACTTGTACTTCTTCTTCCTCCTCCTCTCTCTCTCTCTCTCTCTTTCTCTCTCTCTCAACAAATAGCGGAAAGAGATGTCCTATCAGGTTGGATCTACACTGGGTCTGTGGAGACCCATCTAATGCAGTGTAATGTAGCTCAAGATGGATTATATGGGTCTACACCAGTGGTTCCCAACCCTTTTTTGACCAGGGACCACTTGACCAGGGACCACTTGACCAGGGACCACTTTGAACAGGGACCACTTTGACCTGGGACCACTTTGACCAGGGACCACGTGACCTGGGACCATGTGACCTGGGACCACTTTGACCAGGGACCACTTGACCAGGGACCACTTTGACCAGGGACCACTTTGACCAGGGACCAATTTGACCAGGGACCACTTGACCAGGGACCACTTTGACCAGGGACCACTCTCCAACATTAGTACCAAAAGGGTTACAAATCAGTTTTTCATTAACTTTAGATTTGGTTTGGTTATTTGGGGTGCTGATTCAGAAAATTGCATTGGATAGACCACATCAGCTCTAGTTTCTGATATACAGCATACCATCCAGTATTTGCCATCTGCTCACCCACAGAAAAGCATATTTAATAATCTAGAGCCGCAGACCTTATTTTAGGTCTCGCAGCCCACCAGTGGATTGCGGCCCACAGGTAGGGTAGTGCAGTTCAATCTGCATTATTTGACAGTGTATATTCAGCCACAGACTATAGCAATTTGATGGCTGCATATGAATAAATCACACTATTCTGAAACAGTATTTTAGTTGTTTGAAGCATCATAATCTTGCAAAACCTTATGTTAGACCTTTTATGTTTGATCATTTACTTACCACTTTTATGACGTCCTTTAAAAAATTCCATCCCTGACAACTCCTCTGAAAAGATTTATCACAGAAGTTTTGGAATACTTCTTTCTCTCATTTTTTAAATTAACTTCAACCTATTCCTTGCAGGGTGAAGAAGGTCCCAGAGGTCCCCCAGGACAGGCTGGAGAGAAGGGAGAATTGGTGAGTAGAAAGTGTTGCAGGAGGATTGTGTGGCACCTTCATGAGATCCTCAAGCTAGGACACTTCTTGTAACCTTCCAGGATTCCAATTGTGAATCCTTACTAGTACAGAACCATTGAAACAATTACAGGCGCTTAGGAAAATCCACCATACCCTCCATGCTCATTAAGTCAGCCATCATTAAGACAAAGATGTATGTTGACTTCTATTTGGACCAAAAGGGATTACTGGATTCCAGCACTCCTGCCATTCTTGGAAGGGTTAGCTGGAGTTTTGCATGGCATTATGCGTTTTACTAATAAAGTTTATCCAGTCGCCCTCTTCTCTCCCCAGAAAGCTCACCATGTACACATACCATGCTGTCTGGTTCTCCCTTCTGTCTGTTCACAGGACCTCTAGATCTAATCTTCTTAATGCTTTCACATTAGAACTTAAGAAATGCCTGTTTACACTATGTAACAACATTTGAAGAAAAAAAACTGTTCCTGGTTTGAAAGGGTTATTTCCTGTTTAATTGTGCTGCACTTACTTTGTAAGTAGTTCTTATACTCCAGAAACTTTGTTTTTGTGGCTGCCATAAACTATATTGAATTGGTTGAGGCTCTATGAGATATGCGTTCAAAAACTATAGCAAAATGTGCTGCAGGATGTCCTGCAAAAATGAAGTTTTTGCAGTTTAATCAACTTGTTCCATGTTTTTATGATAGAACCAATTAGAAAATGACATTTATAACCTAGGAACAAAAAATCGTGTTCCAATGTGTAATAAGCTCTCTTTAGGGTCAAGCCATAAATTAATTAATTTGGGATTTTAAACCTGTTTATCCCTTTAGCAATAATTGGGCATATCATAGGAATCAGATTTTAAAATTAGGGTCTACTTTCCACTGCCTGTTTAGGAAAAAGCTCAAGGCACAGATGTAAGGTACTACTTTGAGGAGCATTCCTTATAAATTGTCAGTAGCTGTCTGTATTACCCGCTCCTTAAACTTTGGATCCTGACCTGAAATGGGATCCCCTTAGCTCAATGTTGGGGTCACAAAAAACTTGACAACAGTAAAAGGTTTCTGAATGCCACCCATTTATTCAAGTCTCTCAGCAACAACTTGCACTGTTGACAGTGAACTCTGTGGAAAATGCTTTCAGTTAGATTTCTCAAAAAGGAACACCAGCCTGTTTATCAAGCCTTGCAAATGCAGACTCATTATCAGTAAATGTTTGATTTTTAAACCTATTTTATATACATACTAGTTTATATCGTGGGTAAGGAGAAAGAGCCAGCTGTTACCCCAAGAGGTCATTGGAGGGTCATGGGAAAGAGCCAGCTGTTACCCCAAGAGGCCTCTAGAGCAGTGGTTCTCAACCTGGGGTCCCCAGATGTTTTTGGCCTACAATTCCCAGAAATCCCAACAGCTGGTAAACTGGCTGGGATTTCTGGGAGTTATAGGCCAAAAACATCTGGGGACCCAAGGTTGAGAACCACTGCTTCTAGAGGGTTGCCATGAAGATTTATATCAGCCAGGCGTGGCCATTACCTGAGGGACAGAGAAAGTACTGCTTTGTGTTGTGGTCTGGTGATAGAACCACCCCTACAATCTTACAATTAACAGCTACTTTTACTAAATAACACAATTACAAAATGCAAACCCTCCTGTAACTTTCTCGGGGTCACAGGTGGCTCTTTCCCACTCATTTCTAAGCTGTCCATCTCATTGCTGGGTTGCCTCATATCCTCTCAGTAACTTTACTATGTTTACATTTGGAGGTATTTGTTCCTTGGGTTTTTAAAAAAGAGATTGCACAGTAAAATGACTTGATTAAACAAGCAAAGGTATGAACCAGAATGAAACACAAAGCAGTAGTCTCTATATCTCTGGGAGTAGAGGACCCCATGGCAACTCACTAATGGCTCTACTGCCCTCTTGCATTGGATTCTGGCTGGCTGCAACTCCCATCATCCCTGGCCTGCCAGGAAACTGGCAAGGATGTTAGGAGATACAGTCTGGCTGGTTTGGAGGAGAGTCTCACCCTCATTCGTGGATGAGAATAATACAGCTCTCTGTATATGGGTGGACTACAACTCCCATCATCCTCTGTCATCCCCTCCAAACTCCACCAGTATTATAAGTTGCTCATGATGAGTATCTGCACCATGTTTTACCAGATCCAATGTCAGTAGGATTCACATGGCTGCCTAGATGTCGGTGGACTACACCTCCCTTCATCCTCTGTCAGACTCCCCAAACCCTGCCAATATTTTACCATGAAGTGTATGTGCGCCAAGTTTGGATCATATCCATCAAGATGTATTCCTACAAGATGTAGGATCCTTTATATATATGAGATGCTGATGATGAACATATCTGTTTTGACTTTTATATACCTAGATGAACATCCCAAAGGAAATTGATACTCCTGTGCTTCCATCTGTTGATTTTTCTCCAAATGGAATTCATCATGAATTCTTGTAGGGGTGCTTGTGAAATTTGGGGCATTGCACAAAACACAGCCTGATGTTTCTTGGCTTTTATCTTCTCATATTCAATGATCTCTGGACAAAAGGGTTTTTTACTTGTTCCTTTTTAGGGTGCACGTGGTTTCAGGGGCCCTCAAGGAGAAATGGGCCCCAAAGGAAGAACTGTAAGTATCTTCTTCCCAAGTTGGATTTTTGGGGGGGGGGGGGGGGGGGGGGGGGGGGGGGAGGGGTGTGGAGGGAAGATTGATTTTGAGGGATGTTCCAAACTGACTTTAATAGCTGAAATAATATACTCTTTTTTTTCTACCTTCTCTTGACCTTTTCTATAGGGTCTTCCTGGAATCGATGGTAAAGATGGTACTCCAGGGATTCCAGGAATAAAGGTAACATGACTTGAAGAGTCAGAAAGTAGGCTGGAGTAGCATGAATTATATTAGTCTATGGTCTGAAATCTGGGAATATGCCATGGACTTTGGGGAAATAGGACTCCCTCCAACATTAGCTAATGAAAACTGAGACATGGGTGCCTGAGCAATATCAGAATGTGACCAAGAAAGCAAATGTTATGAATGAGAAAGAGCACAGAAGCGATGAGAAGCTGCAGCAGTTTGTTTTTGCCTGGTTTAACAAGGAAGGGCAAGGATTCATCCTCTTGTCTCCTTTCTCTTCCTGCTAAATTTATGTAGTGGAATTTGTTTTCCCTGCTGTTTGAGTTCAATTAACAGCAATAGAAGTAGACTGCAGACAAAGAAGACAGTGGGCGTGGGAAGTCATGCCATAAGTGACAACGCAGGATGTTTAACTCTTGTATGCTATAGAGTGACATACAAGGTTTACATTTCTCCAAGACATTTGGCTAGGAGGAAGCAATAAAAGACCGTTAGCCCAAGTAAATAGAACTTTTTATACAACAGATAGACATTAGAAGACTCTGAGATCATAAGCTGTAAAATTTTTAATGTTATTTTAAAATATGCCACAAGTATTGAGGTCTCACTTGGTTGTGTGCTACTGATACCTGTCTCGTTCTTTGCTACGTTCTCATTGTGCCCTTTCTTCTTCCATTGTTTAGGGCAGTGCGGGGCAACCGGGGCGTCCAGGTCCCCCAGGGCACCGTGGATTAGCGGTGAGTCTTGCTTTATTTTAAACGGACCTCATTTTATGCTGTTTCCAACGCATAGATTTACAACCACTTGGTGGGCGCCGTAATGTAAATTTGAATCTCTCATACCACTTTTTCTCCTATTGGTCCAACATTTGTGCTCACTTTGTCATGCATTCTTTAATTTACTCGTCTGCCATTTCCCATTTCAATAACATCTTATACATTTTAGCAATTAAATGTTCATCATTTGCACATAATTGCAACTTAAATTCTGATGCACTCAGTTCAATATCAACTAATTGCTTATCTTGCCTAAATCTCTCAATTAACTATAAATAAGAAAACAACTGAAAATCACAACTCTGCAATCAATTGTTCTAATTCTATAGTCTCCTTATACATTTTCTAGGAACTCTTGATAAATTAACTATTTATTCTTGCCTTGTTTTTCTTTTCTATAAAATACTTCTTGCGCAGATGTATTTGCTTCTTTCAACCATTTCTTCCTCATCTAGACTGAACAAGAAATAATAATTTGAGTATTTTTTTTTGTTTCATAACAGGGCTTGCCAGGCACACCTGGGACCAAAGGAGGCCCAGGAGAGAAGGTATGTGCCTTGTGTTGTGTTATATTGTTATTTTCTGCTTTGCTGGATTTTTACACCATACACAGATTGTGGCTCGTAGGCTTTTTAAAGATCCTCTTGATGAATCAGGGGATTTGTTGAATTTTGTCCTTTGATGTCTTAACAGGGTGAACCCGGCGGACGTGGCCAGCGAGGTTTGTCGGGTTCACCTGGGAAAATGGTAAGTTATTTATTTATTTTGCTTCAACACCATTGCATTAATAAACAAGTATAAGACTGATAAAAAATAGGAAAATACAAGCAGATAAATAATTTTAGACCAAAAATGGCCAACAGTGACCGCACTGTCTGTAACTTTAAACAGTTCTTCCTCTGTGCATGAGGCAGGGCATTGTGGGCAACCATACAGATGCGGAGTTGTTTGTTCTGCTCCACAGTTACACAAGGTGGAGGATTCTTTTAGGTAGTGCCATTTAGCCAGGCTGTCTTTTGATCCGCCCACTCCATTTATTTATTTATTTATTTGCAGTATTTATATTCCGCCCTTCTCACCCCACAGGGGACTCAAGGCGGATTACAATGTACATATGCATGGCAAACATTCAATGCCATAGACACACCGCATAGACAGACACAGAGAGGCTATTTAACATTCCATCTTTTTCATGAGGAAATTCTGGTCACCAGGGGAGCTGTCGCTTCACCGTCATTTGTGACACTGATGAAGTACTTCCTCATTCTTTGCATGCTTGTTGGAGATTTTTATGGTGTTAAAATTAGCCTCCCCACATAAGCGGTACCTAAATTTCCTACTTGACAGATGCAACTATCTTTCAGGTTGCAAAGGTAGACAACAAGCTACACAAATTGGTCGGGAGCTCACTCCGACCCGGGTTAGCTTCAAACTCATGACCTTTCAGTCAGTAGTGATCTTAATGCAACTGACTCCCAGCCAGCTGTGCCACAGTCCCGGTGCTTCTGAGTCTGTTAAGGGACTTCCACTTTGCCCATTCTTGGTTTGCCCTTGGAGGTCGACCCTCGTGGGGGGGGGGGGCATCCAATTGGGATTTCCTGGTTTAGCTGCCCAGAGGGATACTCTTGCTGTTGCTGGGGGAATGTTAAGAGGAGTGGTGGTTATCATCAAGCTTTACCTTGATTTGCATCTACTGGGAGGAGGCTGATAGGCATGCAGTGAGTGGCTTTCACCGTGTTCAACCTGTGAAATATCTCTCACAGTTGGCAGCAACTTTCTGTCACACATCGGGTGGGATGATAGCTAGCATATAAAATCTATAAGCAGGTGTAGGTTTCAGACATCCTGTGATTATTCTACATGTATCACCTGCTTCACATGGGCAGACTTGTGCCAAACAGAACTGGCATACTCAGTAGTTGAGTAAGACAAGGCCAGGGCTGATGTTCTTACGAATTTTGGGTCTGCACCTCATGTACTACGAGTAAGTTTCCGCAGGATGTTAATGGTAAGTGAAAGGGAAGTATAAGAGCTCTAATTGCTGGTGGATTCTATGTCCATGAGTCATTAGATCCTCTCTGGCTTTGAATCTGAACTTGAATTGATTTATTGAAGGAGCCAGATCCTCACAGCTGGAACAGACAGCAGTGAGTTGAAACACATTGATCCAATCCATTTTGTTCTATTAGATTTAGGCTTGTCCATGGAAAAGATCCAGGATCTGTGGACCACACATCATGGCAATAATAGCTATTTTGATAGGAATGTGAAATTAATATATTTCATGTTCACAAGTAAAGAGAGGTGTTCTTAGAATGTTGCTCCTTGTGGCAAGAAATGAATTTGAGACTTAGTATGCAGGTGACATTATTTTTTGTGAAGAAAACAACTTTTTTCTGTACACAAAGTGCCATTTTTCTGAGCAACCCCCATATTTGTTTTATGCAAAATAAGTCCTGAACAGAAGAGATTGCCAGCCAGCTAGGATTCTGTTGCAACTCAGATTAAGCTTCACCTTGCTTCCAAACACCACCACACAAGAACTGTAGTTTTATAGTTTATTGAGGAAAAAATCCAAGTCAAAATAAAGAATAAGCATTGCAAAGTTCCAAAGATTAAGGTTAAATGCAGAATATAGTTCCAAAGATCTTCAGGTAAAAGCAAGAGACATAATCCTATTGGCAAAGTTCAAACCAGAGTTCCAGGTACAAGCAATGAAACAATTGCCCCATGAATCACAATGCAAGAAATCCCAAGCTTACTGCTTTCCAGGCTAAAGTTATTCCATGAAGCTTCCAGGTTAATAAGCTACGTTGAACTCACGCTTTCCCTTGGTTTGCAAGAAGCCTAAATACCTTTCTAACATGAAAACATTACATGAAAATATTGTGATTACCTTTCACCGAGCTGGCTTCTCGTCTGCCGGCCAGGCGAGAACTCTGCCTGACCCGCAAATCAAGACGAGCTTGCCAGGTCAGGTCACTATCTTTTTTTTTTGGTAAATAATCTTTATTAGATTTTTGTGACATACACTTTACATTTCCGACAAACAGACTGCGAATATTACAAATGAGACAGACTAGGGTATGGGGCAGGAAATGTGGGGGAGGGAGGAAAAAGGTAAGGCAGGGCAGAAGAGGGTGAGGGGAAGGAGTGAAAAGAAAAAAAACAAAAAAAAAACAACAACACACAGTTACAAGTTACAACATGGTGAGACAGTGGAAATACAATTATCTATAGGACTTCCTCAATATTCCACAGGGTCATAAAATCTTAGGTGCTTGCAATTTATTGCCCTTTATTAAATTTCGGTTACCGCCTTCCCTTTTATCCAAACATAATGTTTTTACTCTCTTTTAAATATGACCTTACTGGATGCCAGTCAATCCTTCTTTTCTTGCTCGTATCTTCCATCATATTCGCTAGCGAGTCCATTTCCATAAAGTCTCTGATTTTAAGTAGCCAAGCATCAATTGTGGGGAGTTCACTTGATTTCCACTTACTTGCCAGAAGTGTTCTGGCAGCTGCAGACAAATGATATAGTAACATTTCTTTGTTATGTTCTAGCTTAAAGTCTAATAGGTGTAACAAATAATATTCAGCTTTGCATTCAAACTTAATCTTGATAATTTTCTGTACCTGCTTGTGTACCTCCCGCCAAAAGTTTCTCACCTTTTTGCATTGCCACCATGCATGGAAATAGGAGCCCAATTGGACTCCACATTTCCAGCAATCACTGTTCACTCCCTTATAGAACTTCACAAGTTTCTGGGGTGTCAGGTGCCATCGGTGGAAAACTTTTTGCCAACTCTCAGTTATATTTGCGGATTCGGCATATTTTAATTTCCCCCGCCAAATGCTTTTCCACTCTTTGAGGAGGATAGTGTGCCCAAAGTCCGCAGCCCATATGATCATATTCTCCTTTACTAACTCTGTTTCTGTTTCCCATTCCAGCAGCCTTTGATAGAGTGCTTTTATTAATTTCCTGTCCTTTCCCATTATTACCTCCCAAAATGTCTCCTGTGAAGTGAATTCCTTTTTTTGTCCTCCTAGGTCAGGTCACTATCAAGGCTTTCAGTACTTTCAGTATCAGCGTGGGAAGGAGGCAGATGCCTCCCCACCTGTTCGCTATCTCCTTCGTTAAAATTATTTTCTCCTGAGAACCAGTGTGTTGATGTTGACTTTGCACTGTCTGACTCTCCACTGTCTGTGGGAGCCGCAGGCCCAGAGATCTGAGGCACAGAAAAAGAGCCAGGAATCTGAATCCCATCATCCTCATCATCACAGAACATCTCAGCCACAACAGATTCTCTTCAACAAAATTTCCTATTTCCTATTTATTTACAGTATTTATATTCTACCCTTCTCACCCTGAAGGGTAGAATTGTTTTTTTAATGCAATACAACTCAGAGCGGATCACAGAACACATAAATGCAAACTTTCAATGCCATTGTACAATGACAAGGCAGAGAATTGCACATTGATATTGGTATATAGGCTTTCCCATCTTTGGCATCTTGGAGGCTGTGGTCGATTCCAGCCACAGGGAGTGCTGTTAATCCATCTTTCCTGCCAGAGACCTTTTTTTTTTGGTTAATAAGTGTTTTAAAATCATGTTGGTGGGTTTTAATATAAATGTTATTGTATTATCAATCTCCAATAGGAAATCTCCAATACCAAGTCCCAGAAGCACTTTATTAGAAGTAAGATTGCCGCACACTGCACTTGCCCTATAATCCTTACATATCACCTGTCACATCAGCACTTTTAATTCTGTACGCTTTACTCTGGCCCGGCCCAGTTTTATTGTGTTTTGGTGTATTGTTTATTGCCTGTTGTTTTGCTGTTTAATATTGCTTTAATTGTTTTAAATTTGCTTTAGGTTTGTATTGTTATGTTGTGTTTGAGGCCTTGACCTTTGTAAGCCGCATCGAGTCCTTCGGGAGATGCCAGCGGGGTACAAATAAAGTTAATGATAATAATAATAATCAATGTTTAATTTTTTTATGCTTAATTTTTATGTTATTTTATGTTCATGTTTTAATTTGGTTAGGTTAATTTATAGTTATGTTATTGTCTTACTATTATCTTTTGGTTTTCACATGTATGTACAGCATTGAATTTTGCCTTTATAATGTTGGAAACAGCTTTGAGTTCCCTTAGGGCAGTGTTTCTCAACCTGTGGGTCCCCAGATGTTTTGGCCTTCATCTCCCAGAAATCCTAACAGCTGGTAAACTGGTTGGGATTTCTGGGAGTTGTAGGCCAAAACACCTGGGGATCCACAGGTTGAGAACCACTGCCTTACGGGGGAAAAAACAGTATATAAATGTAGTAAGTAAGTAAGTAAATAAATAAATAGCTTGTAAACTTCCTCCTTGTTCGAATCGCCAGCATTTTTCTGGTATTTCCTTATAGGTGCTTTAAATACCTCCTCACTTTAAAGTGGTACCTATTTATCTACTCACATTGCTGTTTTTGAACTGCTAGGTAGGCAGAAACTGGGTTGAAAGGTCAGGAGCAACCCTGACCTGGGCTTCGAACTGTCAACCTTTCAATTGGCAAGATTTACTGCAGCTGGTGGTTAACCTGCTGTGCTAAAGCCCGGCCCTGGAAACCCATTATTTGCATTTCTCATAAGTAGCAACACCGTCCTACGAAATCCTCCAAGCAAGAGCCATTGAGAGAAGTATGGACACCTTAAAGATGCAAACTAAATGGAATGACTGTTAACTTCATTCCTTCCCTACTTCCTTTCTACAACATAGGGCCCCTTTTCTTTTCCTACAAAAAATTATAAAGTGATCCTTATTTTTTCCCTCTTTTGTTTCTTGCTTTTAGGGTGAGCCTGGACCTCCCGGAGAAGTGGGGCCACAGGGGGTTGCTGGCATGAAGGTAAGAATTACAAATTGGGAAAGAAATTTATATATTTTGCAAGTTCCTTCTTCTGAAATGTAGCTGACAGCAACTGGTATTCCTTGGCAGTCTCATCAAAACACTAACTAGGGCTGACCTGCTTAGTTTCCAAGATCAGATGGAATTTGTTGCTTTTAGTATTTTTAGACTTTAGGAAGAATATGATCTTTAATGGTGATCTTGACCTTTGACTCTGTTTTTTCCAGGGAGATCGAGGTGAGAGGGGCCCAGGGGGTCCTCCAGGACTGCAGGGAAGAGCGGTGCGTATGGGACATCTAGAAACACATTACTTTTTACTCGTATCATTTAAAGTTAAGTGGTTAAGTGAGTGAACCCAAAGGGTGATTCTCCCCAATGCTTCTTCTTCATTCTGGAAAGAAGTGACGTGTGCAGTGCCAGAAGCAAGGTTCTGTCCTGGGCCCGATTCTGTTCAACATCTCTATTAATGACTTAGATGAAGGGTTAGAAGGCATGATCATCAAGTTTGCAGACGACACCAAATTGGGAGGGAGAGCCAATACTCCAGAAGACAGGAGCAGAATTCAAAACGATCTTTACAGATTAGAAAGATGGGCCAAAACTAACAAAATGAAGTTCAACAGTGACAAATGCAAGATACTCCACTTAGGCAGAAAAAATGAAATGCAAAGATGCAGACGCCTGGCTTGAGAGCAGTACGTGTGAAAAAGATCTTGGGGTCCTCGTGGACAACAATTTAAACATGAGCCAACAATCTGATGCGGCAGCAAAAAAAAACCAATGGTATTTTGGCCTTCATCAATAGGAGTACAGGGAAGTCAGGCTACCCCTTTATTCTGCCTTAGTTAGACCACGCCTGGAATATTGTGTCCAATTCTGGGCACCACAATTGAAGGGAGATGTTAACAAGCTGGAAAGTGTCCAGAGGAGGGCCACTAAAATGATCAAGGGTCTGGAGAACAAGCCCTATGAGGAGCGGCTGAAGGAGCTGGGCATGTTTAGCCTGAAGAAGAGAAGGCTGAGAGGAGACATGATAGCCATGTATAAATATGTGAGAAGAAGTCATAGGGAGGAGGGAGCAAGCTTATTTTCTGCTGCCCTGGAGACTAGGACACGGAACAATGGCTTCAAACTATAGGAAAGGAGATTCCATCTGAACATGAAGAAGAACTTCTTGACAGTGAGGGCTGTTCAGCAGTGGAACTCTCTTCCCCAGAGTGTGGTGGAAGCTCGTTCCTTGGAGGCTTTTAAGTAGAGGTTGAATGGCCATCTGTCAGGGGTGCTTTAAATGCAATTTTCCTGCTTCTTGGCAGGGTGTTGGACTGGATGGCCCACAAGGTCTCTTCCAACTCTATGATTCTAAGTACTAAAGTCCCCTTGGCAAAACCCTGCCTTTTTGTCATAACTGCTGGTGGCTTCCATGTCAAGTGAATGGTCATTCCATACTGTGGTTTAATGCAGTCACCTGAGGCTGGCAATTTGCTTTGCATAATAAGTTAGCAGTGGTTCTCAACCTGTGGGTCCCCAGATATTTTGGCCTTCAACTCCCAGAAATCCTAACAGCTGGTATACTGGCAGGGATTTCTGGGAGTTGTAGGCCAAAACACCTGGGGACCCGCAGGTTGAGAACTACTGGGTTAGAGGCTTTGTCTGTAGTCTTTGTCTGTTCTTCACTTTCCATATTTTGGATACCTGCCTTTCCCCTTTATTTCTCCTCTTCTGGCTCATGTATTTTCTCTTTCTCTCTCTCTCTTTTTTGCTCTAGGGTCCCAAAGGGGAACAGGGGCCACCAGGAATCCCAGGTCCACAAGGTCTCCCTGGAGTTAAAGGCAGCAAGGTATGTTCTTGGGACTCGTATCCTGTCCATTTTTTTTTTGTTGTGTCAGGAGCGACTTGAGAACCTGCAAGTCGCTTCTGGTGTGAGAGAATTGGCCGTCTGCAAGGACGTTGCCCAGGGGACGCCCGGATGATTTGATGTTTTTATCATCCTTGTGGGAGGCTTCTCTCATGTCCCCGCATGAGGAGCTGGAGCTGATAGAGGGAGCTTATCCGCCTCTCCCCGGATTCGAACCTGCGACCTGTCGGTCTTCAGTCCTGCCGGCACAAGGGTTTAACCCACTGCGCCACCGTGGGCTCCATCCTGTCCATAACATTGGGAGATGTAACTAAAGATTCTATTTGTATATTGAACATTATTGGTTATTGAGGAAAGAGGGATTTGCTATGACTTGTATGCAATGACTCAAACCCATTCAGTACTTTTTTCTGTGGTTATTTGGTGGCCAGTGAAAAACTGGGGTTCCAAAAGCACATCTGACTGAGTCTCTAATCCAGGGGTCCTCAAACTATGGCCCGAGGGCCAGATAGAGCCCTCCAAGGTCATTTACCTGGCCCTCACTCAGGGCCAACCTAAGTCTGAAATGACTTGAAAGCACACAACAACAACAACAGCAATTCTGTCTCATCATCCAAAAGCTGGCCCACACTTATTTATTTATTTATTTTATTTACTTTGCTTATATACCGCTGTATCTCAAGCCCGAAGGCGACTCACAGCGGTTCACAAACAGTAGAAACAGTAGAAACAGCAGTGGTTCCATACAACATATAACAATTGACTTAACACATTATCCATAAATTACCAATAAGCAATTACAATGCACAATTATTACAAAAAACAACCGTACCCAATCTTCTCATCATCCAAGCGTAGTCCAGATTCGTCGTCCATTGTTCCATTCCTATGTTCCATTACCAGATTGTACTAAATTACTCAAACGCCTGCACAAACATCCAGGTAAAAATATGGAACGCTTCAAAATTGTTTTTCATTTTAATTATTGTATTAATTTAATTATTGTATAAGTGTTTTAATTACTTAATTATTGTATACGTGTTATTGTTCAATTATTGTATACGTGTTTTTTTGCAAATAAGATATGTGCAGCGTGCATAGGAATTCATTCATATTTTTTTTCAAATTATAATCTGGCCCTTCAACAGTTTGAAGGACTGTGACCTGGCCCTCTGTTTAAAAAGTTTGAGGACCCCTATTCTAATCTATAGCTCAGTGGTTCCCAACCCTTTTTTAACCAGAGACCACTCGACCAGGGACCATTTTGACCAGGGACCACTCTCCAGCATTAATACCAAAAGGGTTATGAATCAGTTTTTGGTCATCTTTAGATTCGATTTGGGGTGCTGATTCCGGAAATTGCATTGGATAGACCACATAAACTCTAGTTTCTGATACAGAATATATTTCATGGTCAGTGACAGGGAAGGAGTGGCAAGTGGCGCGAAAGGGGCGGAAATAAATAAAATAAAATAAATAAAGAGGAAGGAGGCTCGTGGACCATATTTTCATCCTCGCGGCCCACTCGTAGTCTGCGGCCCGTATGTGGAAGTCTGAACAGGGAGTATGGAGGCACACTTTGATATCTGCTCAATTTGCATTTCCAGTTTTCCAGTTGATTTGGAGAGCCTCCATAAATAGAGGAGGCTCTCTGGCTCAGCAAGCTGTGAGTAGAGGAGGATAAAATGGCTAAGTGTGTGTATGTATGTGCATAGTAACATCTCTCTCCTGCACATGTTTATTCAACATATTAAAATAGCTCCACTGGCTGCCGATAAGTTGCCGGGCCTAATTCAAGGTGCAGGTTATGACCTATAAATCCTTAAACGGTTTGGGTCTCGCCTATTTCCACGATCGTATCTCCCCCTATGAACCTGCACAGACTCTTAGATCTGCCGGAGAGGCCCTTCTCTCACTCCCACCAATGTCCTAAGCATGGTTGGTGGGGAATGAGGGATAGGGCCTTTTCGAGGGTGGCCTCCTGACTCTGGAATGCCCTCCCCAGAGAGATAAGACAGGCTCCTTCACTATCCTCCTTCCACAGGGACCAAGGTGATTCCAGCAGGCCTTTAAAATGATTAGCCCTAGGCCAACCTCGGCCATCAGCTAGGACCCTGTTTTGCACTTTATCCGCTTCCCCGGCCTTATGCTATTTCATTGCACTAGCCCTGGCCCAACCCTCTCATAACTGTCTAGGCCAGTGTTTCTCAACCTGGGGGTCGAGACCCCTAGGGGGGTCACAAGGGGGGGGTATCAGAGGGGTTGCCAACGCCCATCAGAAAACACAGTATTTTCTGTTGGTTTCTGTGTGGGAAGTTTGGCCCAATTCCATCATTGGTCAAGTTCAGAATGCTCTTTGAACTATAAATCCCAGCAACTACAACTCTCAAATGTCAAGGTCTAGTTTCTCCAAACTCCACCAGTATTCACATTTGGGCATATTGAGTATTTGTGCAAACTTTGGTCCATGTCCATCATTGTCTGAGTCCAAAGTGCACTCTGGATGTAGGTGCAGTACAACTTCAAAACTCAAGGTCAATGCCCACCAAACTCTTACAGTATTTTCTGTTGGTCATGAGAGTTCTGTGTGCCAAGATGGTTCAGTTCCATCGTTGGTGGAGTTCAGAATGCTCTTTGATTGTAGATGAACTATAAATCCCAGCAACTACAACTTCCAAATGACAAAATCAACCCCCCTCCCAATTCCACCAGGATTCAAATTTGGGCCTATTGGATATTTGTGCCAGTGAATGAAAATACATCCTGCATATTTACATTACGATTCATAACAGTAGCAAGATTACAGTTATGAAGTAGCAATGAAAATAAAGTTATGGTTGGGGGTCACCACAACATGAGGAACTGTATTAAGGGGTCGCGGCATTAGGAAGGTTGAGAACCACTGGTCTAGGCGCACTTTGAAATTCTGGCCATTGGTAGTTCTAATCTTGCCTGATGGAATAATACTGGAACTGGCTTTTCAATGTGTGTGGTTGTTTAATAGTATTATGTCTATATTTTATAAGGATTATTTTGTATGATTTTGTGTTGGTAACTGAAAGCTTTGCTCTATGCTGAAAAGCCACTCATTTTCCACTTCCACAAAGCCACATCTCCAAGAATCCTGGTGTTTGGTCATTAAAAGCAGGCTTCCATCTGTGACTATCCGGAGAAGTTATTTTTAAAATGAAAGTAATGATATACATATGCCTAAAAGTATATTTTAATGCAAACCCTGCTGTTTCCACTTTTTGGGTGCAAAAATCCCAGGAATTAAAAATCCTCCCCATGTGGCTTTTTTGAAATCAGTAGTTTGTGGATAGAAAAACATGTTTTTCAGATACCGCTCCAATGATTTTAATGAAAAATAATCTGCGTGTATTTCTACAAAATGTAAATTCTAGATGAATGTGCAGAGTTCTGGACATGTGCAGAGTTCTGGCCTCAGTTCCCAGTTCTCCTGGGTGTTGGGAAAGATATATTTCATCAGATGTCCTATTACAATGTTTCTCAACCTGGGCATGGGGACCATGGGGTGTGTGTGTGTGTGTGGGGGGGGGGGGGTTGCAAGAGGGGTTTCAGAGGGGCCGCTAAAGACCATATTTCTGATGGTCTTAGGAACCCTTTTGGCAGAGGTTGAAGATCTGTCTGCCTGTCCTTCTCTTTCTTTATGGTGTTGGTAAAGATTAATTCAAAAACAGCACCCCTGCAACTCCACTAGTATTCAATGTTGGCCGTGTAGGTAGTGTGCCAAGTTTGGTCCCGATACATTGTGGGCTGGGTTCAGAATGCTCTTTGTGTCGTGAACCAGATGCCTTAAAGGAGCCAGACACAAAGTAAAGGTCCAAACAAAGTTTATTAACACAACAAAAATAGCTTAGAAACACTTAACACAGTGTTTCAAGCAATAACTAAAAGTCTGCAACAACTGCTGTGCGAAAAACGTAACTAAGAGGATAATCCAGATTATACTGGAATATAACAAAAAGTTCTAGCAAACTGCTTCAAAATCACAGAGTTCAATAAGCATAAGGAAACAAGGTGGAAGCAAGCAAAAACGTCGTCAAAAAACAGTCCCAAGTCAAAGCACATCCAGAAGCAGATGATAAAGTCCAAGAAGCGATGTCGTCATCCAAAAACAATCCAAAGTCAAAACGGGAGTAGAAGCCAGCACTCACGAGATTCCAGTCTGTAGAAGCACGGAAGCACAGCAATCTGCAGTCCCAGGACCCAAGCTCAAGAGTAATGGCAGCAACAAAGTCCCAAGCACGAATACAACACTTTGCCTACTGCAAAGTCCCCAACGTTTGATACCTACTTTTATCCTATAACTCATTATCAGATGATGAACTGCTCTCCACCCTGTCTTCATCACTCTCAGCTGCCTTAGCTTCCACAGCTGATCGCACCGCCCGTCCCTCCAACTTTTCCAGCGTCTATCAAGACTTAGATCACCCCATGTATTACCAGGTTGCCAACCCTTCAAACTCATCACTAGATGTTGGTTGTGTACATATGTCCCTGATCTCTTGCACACGGGCCCAATCCAGCCCATCTTCCTCTCCGTTATCACTCCCAGTCCCATCACTCCCCGTGAACCCCATAAAATCTTCCTCCTTAGTTGGAGCATTAAGTATTTCACGGATACGTTTCCTTTCTCGTTCTTCGTTTTAATTGATATGTTTTAATTATGTGCTCCCGAGTAACCCGCTTCAAACCTCTGCCCCCATCTCCTCCTCCATTTCAGAATCTGAGAAACCTTCGAACGAATCAGTATCTGTAGGTGTCATGAATATCTCCCTAATTCGTTTCCTTTGCTGCTCTTGCTCCAACATCTGAGCAGCCCTCTTGCCCCTTCTACTACCAGTTGTAGCTTGACCAGCACACTCTACAACACTTTGATTGTAGGTTAACTATAAATCCCAGCAACTACAACTCCCAAATGCCAAGATCTATTTTCTGCAAACTCCACCAGTGTTCACATTTAGGCATATTGAGTATCAATGCCAGGTTTGGTCCAGAGACATCACTGTTTGAGTTCACAGTGCTTTCTGGAGTTAGGTGAACTACAACTCCCAAACTCAAGGTCAATGTCCATGAAACCCTTCCAGTATTTTCTGTCATGGGAGTTCTGTGTGCCAAATTTGGTTCAACTCCATCATTGGTGGAATTCAGAAAGCTTTTTGATTGTAAGTTAACTATAAATCCCAGCAACTACAACTCTCAAATGACATAATCAATCCCCCCACAACCCCACCAGGATTCAAATTTGGGCATATCGGGTATTTGTGTCAAATTTGTTCCAGTGAATGAAAATTCTGCATATTAGACATTTACATTACAATTCGTAACAGTAGCAAAATTACATTTATGAAGTAGCAACAAATATAATTGTATGGCTGGGGATCACCACAACATGAGGAACTGTATTAAGGGGTCACAACATTAGGAAGGTTGAGAACCACTGTCGTATTGGAAATGGATATATAATTCTGCAAATACATTCCGATTCAGACCGTACGTCATCCTGCAATGTTTTCTTTTCTTTTTCTAGGGCTCCCCAGGAAAAACTGGACCCAAGGGTGACATTGTAAGTACTGGCAATTGCTTTTTTGCCCTTTTACAGCTCTTAACTTTGAGAGTGCATGAGAAAAAAAAATACTGCCTGTTTTTTGGGCTATGTTTTATTTAATAAGCTATTTTTCTCCTCGGTGCCTTCAGCATGAAAATGTTCTCGTGGTACTTAACAAAGCATATAAAAAGTGTGCATTTAATCTAGACACATCAATAAGATGAGAAACAGCAGCAGACGATACCAAATCAAATAGTATAAATAGTGTAAGGGCAGTGAAAAGCTTTCCAGCGAAGGTAGTACAGATGATTTTGACCAATCCAGGAGACTTGGGAAATATGATTTCTTTTCTTTTCTAGGGAGATCCTGGAGTTGAGGGCCTCCCTGGAGAGAACGGGGAGAAGGTAAGATCCTTTTGGAGGATGCCAGCATAAGTGGGAAAAGTGCTTTATATAATATTGTCGACCTTCCACGTTTGTGGGTTTAACTTTTGTGAATTTTTGTGGATCTCATTACAGTGTTCTCTGAAGGAATCTCTATGTCCTCCAAGGCAATTGTATGGTCTGAAGTGGACCATAGATATTTCTAGGGAAAACAGTAACCACATCTGTTAATAACACTATGTAACACAATTTTTCTCCATGGGTGCGAAATGTTGTTTCCTAATTGGTTCTGGCATGAAAACATAGAAAAAGTTTTTTAAACTGCAAAAACTTTGCTTTTTGTGGGACATCCTGCAGCACATTTTGTTGAATATCTCAACATAGAGCAGTGGTTCCCAACCTTTTTTTGACCAGGGACCACTTGACTAGGGACCACTTGACCAGGGACCACTTGACCAGGGACCACTTGACCAGGGACCACTTGACCAGGGACCACTAGACCTGGGATCACTTGACCAAGGACCACTTGACCAGGGACTACTTTGACCAGGGACTACTTTGACCAGGGACCACTTGACCAGGGACCACTTGACCAGGGACCACTTTGACCAGGGACCACTTTGATAAGGGACCACTTGACCAGGGACCACTTTGACAAGGGACCACTTGACCAGGGACCACTCTCCAGCCTTAGTATCAACAGTTTTACAAATCAGATTTTGGTTAACTTTAGATCCAGTTGGTTATTTGGGGTGCTGATTCAGAAAATTGCATTGGATAGACCACATCAACTCTACTTTCTGATACAGAACATATGCTATCCAGTAGTCGCAATCTGCTCACCCACAGAAAACCATATTTAATAATCTAGAGCTGTGGACCTTATTTTAGGTCTTGCGGCCCACCAGTGGGCCGTGGCTGACAGGTTGGGAACCACTGTTATAGAGTCTCAGCGAATTCAATATAGTTTGCGGCAGCCACAAAAATGAAGTTTCTAGAGTATAACAACTTTCCAAGTAAGGACCACACAATTAAAAAGGAAATAACACTTTCAAACCAGGAACAGAATATGTTTCAAATTTTGTTACATATAGAATCATCGTGTAATTGATTCTCGATTTCTGTGCTTTATTCCTAGGGTGAATCGGGTGAGCCAGGACCAAAAGGACAGGTGACTGATTGTTTACATGCTTAAACCATACAATAAATAAAGTGGTAAATTAGAGGGTAGCAGGAGAAGATACTACAGGTGGAATGAATCTATAAGTGCATAGTCTTGGAAGACCTGAGTAGGGCAGTGCTTGAAAGTCTATCATCCATTGTGTTGCCAGAAGGTGAAGCTGACTTGGAGGCAAATAGGAACTATGGAAACAAAGTCCCTGGAAAGAGCACAATTTAGAAGGGGGTTCAGTGAGCTTTGGAATATTGATGTGGGCTTTGGATGGGGGGGGGGGCTCAACAAAATTGAGGTCTACGGCTACATGTGGGCCTCCCTTTACCCACTCTGGGCTGTTGGGTGTACTCAGGTTGGCTTCTTCTTAGTAGGGTCTTATCTTTCACAGTCAGGTGTCCGCGGAGAAGTTGGCTTTCCTGGACCAACTGGGGATGCAGGGGCACCTGGTGTTAGGGGTTTCCCAGGACCCCCTGGACCTCGCGGACTTGGTGGGGAGCGAGGCGTACCTGGCATGCCTGGACCGCAAGGTGCTCCGGTGAGTAAACTCCCATTATGCTTTCTTCTCTCCGCCTGATGCCACTCTATGAGATCTCTATTTTATTATTTTATTTATTTTATTTTATTTATCTCCCACCCTCCTCACTGAAGGGGACTCAGAGCACCTCACAACAAAGGCACAATTCGATGCCTTGGACACACATCAAAATAAAAACAGCATACACATTAAAAGCACATAATTAAAACATATCAATTAAAACGATTAATTAATTAGTCTATCACCTTAGTCTATCACATACAGTGGCACAGAGTGGGTTGGAAATGAAGGTCTCCCAATGCATGCGGCTTGAACTCTTTCAAAAAATTTTGTGGGTGACAATTGGAATGAATGGAAACCATAATTTTAGGAGGTTATCACACTACACTGTTAAAATATTCCACTTTAATTGCTATGGCTGTGCTTCTGGGATTTGCAGTTTAGGGAGGAGCCTTTAAAATTCTCAGCTGGAGAGGTCCTTGGTCTCATTAAACTACAAATCCCAGGATTCCTCAGAAGGCAGCCATAGGATTTAATGTGGAATAGCTGTACTGCTACAGTGTAGTGTGATAATCTCCTTAAATTCATTTAGAAGAAAAGAAAGAAAGAAAGTGTTCCTCTTCTGTCATAAACTGTGGAAACATATTGCTGCTGGAGTTATTAATAGCTCTGTTGGTTGATTAAGACTGTTTGGAAGCTCCAAATGATCCAATGGGCGGAAGCCATATTGCTCACTGGAGCAGCATACAGCGAGGATACAACCCCCCCCCCCCCCCCCCCCGTTACATAAGCTTCACTGGTTGTCAGACTTCTACCAAGCACAATTCAAAGTGCAGGCTGTAGCCTATAAAGCCCTAAATGGTTCTAGCTCAGCTTACTTGTCCAAACGGATCTCCCCTTATGAAGCTTCTCGGAGATTAAGATCATCCAGGGAGGCCCTGCTCTCTCTCCCACCTCCTTTGCAGGTGCGACTGGTGGGAACGAGAGACAGGGCCTTCTCAGTGGTGGCCCCTCGGCTGTGGAACATCCACCCCAGCAATGTTAGATCAGCCCTCTCCCCCCTGAAAGAGAGTGAAAACATGGCTCTGGGATCCAACCTTTAGAGAAGAACCATAGTGCAATAGATTAATTGCAATTGTGTGCAATGACTACCTGGATTATGATTACGGATTGAGTGATTTTATAGTGATAATAATATTTTATAATTTGTAATGTACTTAATTTTAATTTTTATGTATTTTAATTGTATATTATTGTTAAGGCATCGAATTATTGCCTATCTGTAAGCCGCCTTGAGTCCTCTCCAGGGCAGAGAAAGGCAGGATATATAGTAAATAAATAAATCAATAATTGTTATTCAGCAAATATTGTTGGAAATCTCAGTTTCCACCCCAGGACTTTATCACACCAACCCACGATTACTTTATGGTTGCATTATTATAGTATAATGCATTCATACAGGATTGACCACCTGTGGTGATATTGCTCTTATTTTCAATAGCACAATTGTGTCAATTCGCCATTCTGTTATGCTGCGGTCCTATTTCTGCACTCCCTCTTATCTCTGCTTTCCTGCACTACTTCTGTTCTGTTGTTGTTGTTGTTGTTGTTGTCACAATTGTGAAAAGTAAACAGATGAATTGGTAATAGCAAGGGAAGAGGGGGAGAATCCAACCTCAAGATACCATCTATTTATTTATCTCTATATATAAAAATGTAATGTTCATTTGTGATATTCACAGAACTCAAAAACCACTGGGGGAATTGACACCAAATTTGGACACGATACACCTAACAACCCAATTTATGTCCTCCACTCAAAAAGAACCCCAAAGAAACAGCAGAAACCCCAAAAATCCACACAAGGGAAGGGCGGCCGTTACAGCATTGAGAGCCAAGCGCATGTGCACGCACGGCCATACAAACAGAAGTGGCACAGCGAGCGGCACCGAGCTCCCTCCCTCACGGCAGCATGACCCCTTCCTCTTCACCTTCCTCCTTGCCTGCTGTGGCGACAGAGGAAAGGGCGAAAGGAAGGAAAGAAAGAAGGAAGCATGGGAAAGAGGGGAGAGCGCACCTTGCACAGCCTGTGGGATAGATAGAGATAGAGAGAGGGAGGGAGGGAGAGAGAGAGAGAGAGAGAGAGGCAACCTCCTCTCTCCCCTCCTCTTGGCTCTTCCCCTTGCTTTGCAAAGGTGGGCACTTCCAAGGCTTCCAGCCCCCACCAAGCTTCTGAGGCAGGAGAGGGACTGAAGGGGGACCCACATAGAGGAAGAAGAGGAGGAGGAGGCAGAAGCACAGGCAGCAGTGGCAGCGGACCCCAGGCTCAAAGCTCGTCACAGCCGTTTCCATTGCAACTTGGTGGGGATGGTGAAGCCAAGCAAAGCAGGGGGAGCCAGGAGCGGGGGGGGGGCAGTGCCCGAATAATGAGGGGGGTCTGCCAGTGTCAGGAGGGAGGACAGTTTGGAAGGTAGCGTAGGATATCTATAGTCCCACAATTTGTTCACGAAACAAAACACACAATAGCATATCCACACTGTGTGTGTGTGTATAGGTTTTTTGGTTTTTTTTTGTCGTGTCAGGAGCGACTTGAGAAACTGCAAGTTGCTCCTGATGTGAGAGAATTGGCCGTCTGCAAGGACGTTGCCCAGGGGACGCCTGGATGATTTGATGTTTTTATCATCCTTGTGGGAGGCTTCTCTCATGTCCCTGCATGAAGAGCTGGAGCTGATAGAGGGAGCTCATCCACCTCTCCCCAGATTCGAACCTGCGACCTGTCAGTCTTCAGTCCTGCCAGCACAAGGGTTTAACCCACTGCGCCACAGTGTTGATGTATATATGTGTGTAAAGGTTTTCCCCTGACATTAAATCCAGTCATGTCCAACTCTGGGACTCTGGTGCTCATCTCCATTTTTTAGCTGAAGAGCCGGCGTTGTCCATAGACACCTCCAAAGTCATGTGGCCACTGGCATGACTGCATGGAGCGCCCTTACCTTCCTGCCAGAGTGGTACCTATTGCTCTACTCACATTTGCATGTTTTTGAACTGCTATATGAATTGAAAATCATTCTATCTATCTATCTTTTACAACTTGGCAACATACACATGTTGGCAGAGCAACAGTGAGTGCGTATGGGTGTGTGGAGTTGTGAAAATATAGTGGATTTAATGCACAAGCAAGATCATCCCCACAATAACCCCTCAAGACATGCACTCCAGCAGAGCCACTTATTTCCTGCGTGACTGTGTGTATTTGAGGGGAGAGTTGAGGAAATATAGTAAAATTAACATCCATGTAGGTATTCTCCACAACTTCCTTTCAACATAGACATTACCATATTATCCACACCCATATGTGTATGCGTGTGTGTGCATGCACTATATCTCCCCCCAAAGAAAGAAGGAGACAAAGAGGGAGGGAAGGTTGGCCACAGCAACACGTGGCGGGTACAGCTAGTAAACAATAAGGACCCATTGAACCAAGGAAGGTGAAGGAATTGTTTTGGGCTGGGGAACCTGTTGTTGCTTTTTAGCCTTCCATAGCTAGGGAAAGAAGAATCACAGGGGAAAGGCAAACTGGTAATTGTGTGATTCCAGCTTGGGATTTGTAGTTCGATGAGAGAGGAAGAATTCACTGGTCGCCAACTGCGACCGTACCTCGCAAAGGTGGATCTGGCCGGGGTGGTCCATGCGTCGGTCACCTCTAGATTGGATTACTGTAATGCGATCTACGTGGGGCTGCCCTTGAAAATGGCTCGGAAATTCCAACTGATCCAACGGGCAGCGACCAGGATGTTAACTGGTGCTCCTTACAGAGAGAGGTCAACCCTCCTGTTTAAGGAACTCCACTGGCTGCCGTTTACCTACCAATCCCAATTCAAGGTGCAGGTGCTTACCTACAAAGCCCTAAACGGTTTGGGACCTGCCTACCTGCGTGACGCATCTCCGTCTACGAACCCACGCGTTCCCTTCGTTCATCCGGAGAGGCCCTGCTTGCGATCCCACCTGCGTCGCAGACGCGTCTGGTGGGGACGAGGGGCAGGGCCTTTTCTGTGGTTGCCCCCCGACTTTGGAATACCCTCCCCAAAGACATCAGACTAGCACCCACGTTGGCAGTCTTCAGGAAGAATTTGAAGACTTGGCTGTTCCGATGTGCCTTTCCGGAATAGGAAAACTCCAGTATTTGTCCCAGAAGCACCTTATTAGAATAATAAGATTCTCAGCACAATGCACTTGCCCTGAAACCCAATATACCACCTGTCACACCCAGCACTTTTAATTCTGTACCCATTGCTTGGCCCAGCCATAGTTTTTACTGTGTCATGGTCTAATGTTTTGTTGTTATTGCGTATGTTTTTGATTTTGCTTGAGTTGTTTGTTATGCTATTGTTGTGTTGAGGCCTTGGCCTTTGTAAGCCGCATCGAGTCCTTCGGGAGATGCTAGCGGGGTACAAATAAAGTTTAATAATAATAATAATAATAATAATAATAATAATAATAATAATAACTTCCTTGAGCTATTACATTAAAGAATTCTAAGTACGTCATCAAACTACAAGACCCAAGATTCTATAGTACCCAAGTGCTATCTAATGTATCAAAAGGTTTGCTTTCTTCAGTTCCAGCTAGAGTCAGACTCACTCATTCATTGTTGCAGAACAAGCCAACATATAAGTAAATCTCATTGGCTCAGTGGGTCTTCTCTAGTCAAGACTAAACAGGATTTTGCTCAAGGTCTCTCTTTCCCTTTTCTCTGCTTGCAGGGAAGGGACACAGGAGATCAGCACATTGTTGATGTGGTCCTGAAAATGTTGCAAGGTGAGTAACATCAGGAAAAAAGGGCTGGATTCAACTGAGATGATTCAGGGTGCATCTACACTGTCGAATGAATGCAGTTTGGCACCACTTTGATGGCCACGGTTCATACTACTACCAAGAAGGTCCTCTCTTGTAGCTTCACCAAACATGGCGTAAGGATGGTAGAACAAGGAAAGGCTTTCCTCTCAAGATCAGGTTCAAATAAGTAGGTACATGATGATAGTGTCCTATGTGCACCTCATTTCCCTTAAACATGGGGTTGCACATTTGGGGCCATTGTGTAGTGGACATATTCATGGTTACATAAATGAAGCTCTGCAAATGTAACCATTTCATATGGCTCTAAATCCTATAGTTAGGCCTGACTTAAGTAGAGCTAAGGATTGGACTTATCTAGGTGTTGACGTGCTGTGAAATTTGGCTCTTACAGAACAGCTGGCGGAGTTAGCTGTGAGTGCCAAAAGAGCAGCCCTGGGCGGGGCAGGTGTGATGGGACCACCAGGACCTCCAGGACCACCGGGGCCTTCTGGTCAGCAAGGGCTACATGGACACCCAGGTCTTCGTGGCATCCCAGGGATCATTGGATATCCAGGAGCAATTGGCAATACAGGACCGAAAGGTGAGACTGCTTCAGAAAAGGAAGAAACAATCTTCTCAGACTCTTGATGCCCAGTTCAAATTATGCATGATTCTTCCCCTTTCTGGTACCTCTTGAGTCCTAACCATGGTTTATTGTGATATCTCAACAAATCATAGTTAGTGTTTGTCTTCTGGGTAACCAAGTAGATGCACTTGCGGCTGGATACTATGCAGGTGCTCATCCATGTCTTCCATGGTTGGAACTTTGTTTGTTGTGTTCAGTTCCCTGCTTTTCTAAAGGGTAAAGATACACTTGTAATAGTGGTATCAGTATTGAAAACTCTGGATGACACTAATAACAGTTGCCTTCTCTCCTTTTCAATTTTCCAGGAAAGAGGGGTGAGAAAGGAGAGCAAGGAGAATCTGGCCGTGGACATCAAGGGATGCCAGGTCCACCAGGTATACCAGGTAAGGTCAATGGTGAGGTTGATTGAAGTTAACATAGGACAGAGGCACCATGTTGAAAGATGGGTGGGGAGTATGCATTGAATCCATTATGTTAAGGCAGGAAGGAGAAATGTGGATCCAAGGAACTGGAATAATGGTTGAGGAACACATGTCACAGAGGTTGGGAAAACTGAATTTCATATTTGCTGAGAAGAAAAGAGGATAGGACACTGGTGCCTAGGTTTAATTCAGCCCTATGGGCACTTCGTCCGGATCTGTCGGACACCTCCATTGAGGGGTAACCCTTGATTTGGCAACTTTCGGGGTTTGGTGATTCTCTAGGCATTGATTCTTCAGGAGAAGGGAGCAAAAGTTCAACCTGATTGCTGTGTGGTACTGGCTTTCAGAGAGCCCTCAGAAAGTCCAACCTACCACCATCACAGCCTCACCAGAAGTCCTCCTTTGGCAGGTCTGGAGAGCAAGTTTCCATCTCTGATGCATGGAGCTTCCACCATATGTTTCTTACTGCCCCTTTTAAAGGATGCTACATAGTACATGGCATAAAACATTGCTTGGAAAGGTTACTTTTTGGACAACATTTTCCTGAATCCCCCACCCAGCAAAACTGACCTTTCCAAGCTCTGTTGTTATCACGCTCACAGCCACATTAGGGAACCTGCTTTCTCATTCTCTTGCTTCTTTACTTTAATCACATTCTCTCCTTCTCCCCACTTCCCCTTCTCCTCCCCTTACTCCTTGCTTTTATGGAAAAGTAAGAGTTAAGAAAGTATATTCTGACTAAACCACACCATAGGTATAAGAATGGTCCTGCCAAACTGGATTGTGGTTCCAGATGGGAGCGACCAAGGATGTCAAAGATTCTAAAGAGAACTAATCCTTTTAAGGAACAGTCGAGAGGGTTAAGTACAGTATTTTCTCAAGTTTAATGTGCCATTGAATCTAATGTACGCCTCAATTTTTAAAACCTTGAAACCAAAAAAAGTATTTGCTGACGAATGTAATGCATATCGGCCAAAGGTACATTCTTTGTAATATGCCCATTACAGTTGCCACCTGCTTCGAATTCCTTTGTATTGGAACACCAAAGTTTCCATTAATGGAAAAAAAAAAACACCCTTGAGATGCATCAATGCTGTAGAATTAATCCACTTTAACTGCCTTGGTTCAATGCTATGGAATCTTGGGCTGTAGTTTTGAGCCTTATCTGCAAAGAGTGTGAATGACTCATCAAACTACAAAACTCAGGATTAGATAGCATTGACAATTAAATTACAGATGACATCCCTCAAATAGAAGCTCTAGGTGCCCTATTGCTTTGTCTCAGCCCTAAGATTACTATATTACTTGAATCTAACATGCACCTTAATTTTGGCAAGGTAATTCAGCCAAAAAAGATTAGGGTCAGATTTGAGTAAATACAGTATGTTCAGTCTGGAGAACATTGAGAAGTCTCTGGAGACTCTAGGAGTCCAGTCCAAAGCAAAAAGCTTTCTCGGCCTGGTAGAAGCTGCACAGGTAGATGCCATACTTTTGTTCCATTTTTCTAGGTCTCCCTGGTCGCCCGGGCCATGCCATCAATGGCAAAGAAGGAGAACGAGGCTTTCCAGGTAATCCAGGAGAAGCTGGACGCCCTGGCTTACCTGGACCTGCTGGCCTTCCTGGGTTCTGTGAGGCAGCTGCTTGTCTAGGAGCGTCGGCCTATGCCTCGGCTCGCATGACTGAACCAGGCGCTGTCAAGGGACCGTCGTACTGAATGTCGCCAGCAGAACCTTCTGGTGTCTCCTGGACTTCGTCAAGTCAGAGAAAGCTCCCTGTTTGGCATTGAGGGATACAACACACCAGAACTTGGGGGAGGGGGCAAAGAGATGGGGAACCACCGATCTTTTGGGATGAGAGACCTCTTCTTGATACTTGGACATCAAATGATCCCTTCATGTTTTGCTGGTGAGAAGGTGACACTTGGCCACTGTGAGTAGCTTAAGTCCAGCTGAATGAAAATGCACCCAATGAGCGTTTTGGAGAGGGACAACCCATCAATAATTTGGATATTAGAATCTTTCCACTCTTGGACTTTCATTCATTGAAAAGTCTACTTGGATTGGCTGACTTCCTTTTCACTGTTTTCCATGTTATTCTTGATGAGAAGGGGAGGAGGGTTTTATCTATCTTGGATCCAAATCACATTTTCTAGAGTCTTGTGTAGTGACCTTGCTACCAAATAAAATAGCACTGCATTGAGAAGATCTATGGAAGACATTCATTGAAATGACTCCTGATATTTGATTAGGGCCCTTCCACACAGCCATATAACCCAGAATATCAAGACATATAATCCACAGTATCTGCGTTGAACTGGGTTATCTGAGTCCACACTGCCATATAATCCAGTTCAGGGTGGATTTTATACAGCTGCGTGGAAGGGACCACAATTATGTATGTGGACAAAATGGTGGACCAGCCTCTTCCCAGCCCACCTTAACAGCCAGCAGACACATCAATTGAATAAGATCTGTTTTGTTGCTAATCTGGATTGCATGGAGTTTTTTTGCATGGAACAAAAAGCATTCTCCTCCTTTTGCCCCAATTGGCAACTGAATAGAGTTCCTTCACCCAATGTGGTTGTTGGTTATTAGGTTGGCTTGCAGGAGTTATTAATACAGACTTACATTAAGACAACATAGTCCTAATGAATATGGAGCAAGTAACAGACCTGTAACTTCCATTTTACAAATCCACAGTTGCAATGCATTGTTTTTGTGATGTGAAGATCTCTCATGTTCCCCCCCTTATGCTTTATGGAAAAAAGCAGAATAAAACTTGCTTAGGGAAGTCTTTACTTACTTGAAGAACTCCTGACATGGCTTTAAGAATAATCCATCCATTATTTTATTGATCACCAAATCTCCTCTCTTGTTTCAGCCCCTTTTCTACGAGATATCTAATCTGTTTATGTTTTGCTAGGTTTTATTGTGTTTTATGTGGAAGAATTGGACGACCCACATTTATTCTGATCTTTATTCATACAACCTTTTCCTTTCCTTTCTTTCTTTTTAATGACATGCGATTTGTGGTTAATTATTTAAAGGAGTACACAGAGTCGGCCTGAGTCCTCTCCCTAAAGCTGTAAATCTTTGTAAAATAAAGTTATTTTATAAATGTTAATTACAAATCATTATATTTTTCCTCCACAGAAATAGCTATTCAAACCAGACAATAAAACGAAGAACAAATGTCAACGAACTTAATGGATGAGTCTGCTTTTCTGAGTTTAATAGACTTGTAAAAATGAATTTTTCTTTCGGGCGTGTTTTGTTGATTACCTTCTGTGTGATAATGAACCATTCTCATGATTAATTATGATTAATTTACCGGATCTCTCTTCTGCTCAGAGGATCAGCTGGATTGCTTTGGAAGATCATTCCGGCACTGTGATAATTAAGGTGCATCTACACTGTATAATTCATGCAGTTCAACACCAACACCAATCAGAAGCGACTTTTGACACAACAACAAAACAAAACAAAACACCAATTTAACTCAATGTTTTGGAATCCTGGGATTAATAGTTTGTTGGGGTACCATTACCCTTTGGCAAAGAAAAGGAAAGACCTTGTGAAACTACAACTCCCAAGATTGCATAGCACTGAATAGTTCAAGGGTAGTTGGTGATATTGCTGAAATTTATGGAAAGTTTTAGGATTGAAAACAAGTATCAAGTGTGGAAATACATCTAACAATTTGAAATTGGTTCAAATTTCAGTTCTGAAAAATATTTAGGGTGGATAATAATAATAATAATAATAATAATAATAATAATTTCATTCTTATATGCCGCCTCCATCGACTTGGGGTTATGGTAAGGGACCAAGCCCAATATAAACCAAGATTACAAAGTAACACAATTTAAAACATATAACAATCAACTATATTAAAACCAAAAATAAAATGTAAGATATCATAAAACATAAAACATAAACCAACCAACAAGCAATCAATTTCCAAGAAAAGTGGGCATGTGCAGATTTGAGACGAATAGGGCAGGACAAGGGCTAGTACAAATGCAAAGTGTATTATTCTGGGGCAAGTCCACCACAGGTGGTAAAAGGTTCTGATTTGGTCTTCACATTTCCAGCATCTGTTGTTTGTTTTTTTGTACATTAGGGCTAGTTTTTGTGGAGTCATATACCACCTGTATAGCATCTTGTACCAATTTTCTTTTAGATCTGTGGAGTACGTATATTTGATTTTTTTTTTTGTCCATATCAATTCCCACTCTTTGAGTTTTATTGGCCTACCGATGTTTTTGGCCCATTTTATCATACATTCTTTTACGGCCTCAGTCTCTGTGACCCATTTGAGTAGTTTGTTATATATCTGGGTTATGTTATTCTTATCTTTTCGTAGTATCTTCTCCCATAGGTCATCTTTGTCTGAAAAGCCCTCTTCCTGATCTTCATTGAAATATTCCTTTAACTGGAAATATTGAAGCCAAGAAAAGGTTTGAAGTTCTTTGGCTATCTCCTCTTTAGTTTTCAAATTTCTCTTGCCGTCTCTCTTGGTCGTTAAGTTATTATAGGTGGGCCAGCTCGTCCAACCCAGCAGCCGTCTTTGTCCCGCCTCAAACGGGGATAGCCATAGCAGTGTCTTTTGATAAAATGTATCTCTGTACTTGTCCCAGATTTTTAAGAGCACCCCCCTGACAAAATGATTGTTAATTTTTTTTCTTTCTTCATTTGGTTGCGCCACAGGTAGGCGTGCCATCCTACTCTCAAGTCAAAGCCCTCCAGGTTTAGCACCTTTTCTCTCTTCAAAGATATCCAATCTTTTATCCAGATCATTCCACATGTGTTGTAATAAATTCTTAGATTTGGAAGCCCTAGTCCTCCTCTTTGCCTTGCATCTGTCAGGTGTCTGAGTTTTATTCTTGCTTTTTTCTCCTTCCAGATGAATTTTAAGATCTCTTTATTCCATTCTTTAAATAATTTATTGTTTCGAAGTATAGGCAAATTTTGAAAGAGAAATAAGAATCTTGGTAAGATGTTCATCTTAACAGTTGCTATTCTACCTATGAGGGAAAGATTTAGATTATTCCATGTTTTCAGATCTTTTTTTACTTCATTCCACATTGTTTCATAATTGTTTTTTAAGAGTTGGGAATTCTTTACGGTTAGTTGGATTCCTAGATATTTGATTTTTGACGCGATTTGCATTCCTGTCATCTCTCTTAATCTATCTTGATTTTCTTTCGAGATGTTCTTTGTTAAGATCTTGGTTTTCTGTTTGTTTATCTTAAAACCTGCAAGGTTCCCATATTCTTCTATCTTACTTATCCAATTGATTATGTTTTCTCTTGGTTCCTGGATGATACAGATCAGGTCATCCGCGAACATTCAATGCCATTAAACAGATAGAACAGACAACAGATAGAGGTATATGTCGACATTTCTCCCAACTTTGGCATTCTGGAGGTTGTACTTGATTCCGGCCACAGGGGGTGCTGTCGTTCTATCCTCTATAACGAAGAGCCCTTGATCACAGAATTCCTTTTTCCTTTGATCGCCGGCATTTTCTGGTATTTCCTTTTTATGGTGCCATTAAATAACTCCCTGCTTAAGCGATGTCTAATTTCTCTACTCACAGCTCGGAGCTGTTTTCAAACTGCTTAGGTGGAAAGTGAACTGGGCTGAAGGTCCAGACCCGGGCTTCGAACGGCCAACCTTTCAATTGGTGCGATCTATTGCTGCTGGTATCTCAGGTATGATTCTGAGATTTCAAAACTCGAAATTTAGTCTTGTTACCAATGTCTCGGTAGCTTCCTTCTGCTGTCATAATAGACAACAGTTTAATCGCAGCAATAACAACAAATGAAAGAGACAGTGGATGACCTTAAATGCCTCTCTGTATATTGCTGCAGTCCAGAATCCACTTCATTAAATATCTGCCAACAGAAGGTAATGTGTCATGCCTTGGAAGGAAGCTCGTCCATCAAATTTTCTGTCATAAACAATCCCCCGGCTATCAAGGTGACACAAGGCTCTTTTTAGATGTTTGGCATTGCCTTTTGCCCAAAAATTGAAACCTAGAAGCCCTTTGTCATTTCAACATGATGATTTCAAGTTTATTGTACTATCATCATTACTATTAAGTTGGGTTCACAATCTGCCAGGGGTTACAGACTGAAATTTTGCACTACGATTGATTCTATCCAAGAATTGATTGTATGATTTTGTGGTGGTGTTCCTTCAAGTCATTTCCAGTTTATGGATTTGATCCAAGGAAGTGTGCCATTGTCATCTTCTGAGGCTGAGAGAATTGGACTAATCCAAGGTCTCCCAATGAGCTTCCATGTCTGAATGGATAATTGAAACCATCACACCAGGATAATCTGATAGATAGATAATCGTTGGATAATCTGGCCCTTTCCAAGTTTGGTTCCTTTTTGTTTCTATTAAGACCCTGCCAACTTTATTTAGATGTTTTGTCAGCCTTTTAAAGATTGCGTCTGATATTGATAATAACCTTCTTACCTCTCTCTATAAATGGCAAAGTATCTATGTATGTTTGTACTGGAAATGTTAGGTGAAGTAGCCTTCCTTAATGTCACTGGAAAAGAAAGATGATATGTGCATGAGAGGAAAGGAGTTTTTGCCATTAATATGTTGTAAACTGCTTTGAATCCCCCCAGGGGTGCAAAAGGAGGTATATAAATACAGTAAATAAATAAATCAGGCATGGGCAAACTTTCTAACTTGGGGGCTGCATGGCCAGCCGGAGCGGGGTAGGCGAGCTGGAAGGGAGGCTTTTTCCCGAAGTCCCCTCCCTGCCCTTTCCTCCCCTTCTCTTTCAGAGGTAGAAAGTGAAGGAAAGGGGAATCTGAATTTCAAAATACTTCTAGTCCTGAGCATATTTGGTAAGGGAGACACAACCTTTAATTAGGTTCTTGTGGGCTTTTCGGGCTATAGAGCCATGTTCTAGAGGCATTTCTCCTGACGTTTCGCCTGCATCTATGGCAAGCATCCTCAGAGGTTGAACCTTTAATTACTTTTTCAAAATTAATATTGGATGCATTGATTCCACTCAACCTTCTCTGGAGGTCTCCAAAAAGAGGCTGGACAGCTACTATCTGGGGATGGTTTCGTTGGAGATTGTGTGTCTTGGACTTGATGACCTCTGAGGTACCCTTCCAACGCAAATATTTTATAATTCTAGGAGTTTGCAATGCATCTTTCTAATCCAGCATTTCTCAACCTGGGGGTTGGGACCCCTGGGAGGAGGGTTGCAAGGGGGGTGTCAGAGAAGTCATCAAAGACCATTAGAAAACACAGTATTTCCTCTTGGTCGTGAGGGTTCTGTGTGGGAAGTTTGGCCCAATTCTATCATTGGTGAGGTTCAGAATGCTCTTTGATTGTAGGTGAACTATAAATCCCAGCAACTACAACTTCCAAAT